GAAGCTGCTTAGACAGCGGCCGCTCTGTCGCTGCAAAGCAGTTTTCTGTTGTTTCGCTTAACGAGAGATCGGAAACACCCGCAGGTGGGGGGGAGATTCCTCTAGAATTAGTATGCGCGCTACAGGGTAGTCATGCCATTGAGGTTACCACTTTTCTGCGCCACAACCCTAATTTAATTAACATTGCACTGAGGTCATGTGCATGGGATAGGCATCTGAAGGGGGCACCAAGATCCCTGTCAGAGCGATGAGAGAAGTCAGCTTGACGCATATTTCGGATGTAAGGAATTTTCAGATTATCCTTTCAATAGTAACGGGTTTCACTGGTCTCTTCTGTTTCCTTTGACAAGCAAATCACTTAGAAGAAAATGTCGAGAATGTCTTGAAAACAAGTCACAAGACTCGGTAAGGCTTTCTTCAGGAAAACAAGTGAAAACATGTAAGAATAATTTACGGCCACGAACACCAATGCCAATTAGTATCCTAGCCTGGGCTTCTCCCACGTTTATCTCAGAAAATCAAGAATAAATTCTCCCACGTTGACTGGGGCAGTCTAAGGCCACGAAACAAAGGCTGTATGTACCTGATCACTTACACTGTCTAGCCGCAAGGCCAGCACTCTTGACTGAGTTCGTTTTCATATATTTGAAAGCTGAATTTCCACAGCTTTCCATTAATTCCTACTTGACATTTTTGGTGTAAGTTACTGTGAAGTAGATATTCAAAATACCTGTCAAACGTTTGTCAGAGTGTGTCAGTATCATAGTCCGAACCCAAAATGCAGTACGATGTTACCAAAATCAGATACTTTCCGTCGGCATTCCAGTAGCTTAGGTCACACTGGCGAAAGAGGTAAAGAATGTCATTTTTTTCACCTTGCGAAATAAATGCATTCTTTAATAGCCCATTGAATAAAGTGACTGGATTAAACGCATGCATGTGGAGCAGTTAAAATGTAACATCCAATAGCATTTGTGCCATGGAGAGACTGGTCCCTGTCCTAAAACTGATGAATTACCACAACTGGTTCAAGATCTCGAACCGAGAAATTGGGATGGTACTCATGTGCATTGATGACCTTGAGCCAGTGATGGAAATTCGACATTCCTATGCCAGGGTCCCGTTCATTCTAATGAAACCCCCAATTGACTTCCCACGAAGGGTTATCTATTTTATCAACCCTGGAGAGATGATGTGCTGCTTTGATACCCCACCAGGATTGAAGTCACAACCCTCAAAGTTTTAGTATTTTTTTTTCAAACAAATGCTCTTGACGGATTTATACCATCTATCTAAATACGCACATCGCACATGCATGCATGAATACATGCATGCATGCACTTGAACTACACCTTGACAACAAACTACTACCCAACAATAGGATCACGTTTTCAACAGATCTCAAAATGGCACCGGGGCGCTGCGAGTCCATTTCCACAGTGGGCTCAACCCACTTCCATTGAATAACACCTCACATGGAGCAACGCTTCCACACCAACCCATCCCCAGGAAGCCACCGCGGGGCCCCTGTGCCAGGCCACCGGCAGGCAGCAGCGACCGCACGGCGGAAGCCCGCTACATACCGCGGAGCATGGGAAATGGCTAACCTTGTCACACCCAAGCAGTTTTTGTAACCTTGCCCAAGCCTCGCTCTCTGCCTGCGAATAAGTGGAGCCAAGCTCTTGAAGGGCTGGTAATATTAGACTCAGACACTTCCCATGTTTAGTCTTGGCGTGCGTTCGGTTAAGTATGAATGGGGGGAGGAGTGCTTTTATTGGATGAGTTACTACCCGTATAAAGCATACGTGAGTATAATGCACACGGCTTCTCTTGCCAGGATTAATTGTAGCGTTTCTTTATTTAGCAAAGAAAAAGCCATGAGACTAATGAAGTTTCTGCTGTCGCACGTTGATAGCTCTGGAGCAGACATGCTTTTATTTCGTATTTAGAACGAGACACGTTTGATTTAAACTTGTCGCGTACTGCAGTGAGTTCATGGTTCTATATCCACAACTGAATAGTCGGTTGAAGAATTGCCGAAAGTGAATTGACTTTAAAGATCAACATATCAAAGGGAGCAAGAGGCTATCGCATCCCAACACAAAATGATACGAGGACGCAACATCACTTCCTTCTTCTGCAAGACCCAAAAAGTGTTGTAAAGCTGGTACCTGACCAGCAAAGTTATCCCAAACAGTATCTCAGCATCCGCCTTTAGGTCTTCCGCTCGGTCGCAGGCCGCTGGGTGCCACTTTAACGCACGATTCAAAAATGTGACGATGAACGTGACTGTAGGTCAATAAGAATAAGCATGCCCTATGACACGGGAGCCAAGTTCTCGCATTGCAGATCTCCTTTCAATGGCCTCTTCCCCCTGCCTAAATTAAAATAATAAATAGATTAGAAAATATTTGCTGTCAAATGAATAAACACCTGCTACAAATCTACGTTTTGATGAGTGATTAATTTCATTATTTGATTCCCCACCACCGCCCCCCTCCAATTGTTTGGGGAGGGATGGGGGGGGAGCGCTGTTTCAGATCCACTGCCATGCTGCTGTCCATCTCACGCATTCGTCTATTCCAGAGAAATGTGCAATGCTGGGGTAGCATCCCGAAGTGAGCTGTATTTTACGGGATGGAACTCATTATTTGCCGATGCTGCATTGGTAGTGGTGTATTTGGAACGGCAAATATAGCTCGAGTGTAAAGGCACCAAATCCGACTTTGTAAGATAACGTCGATGACTGTGTGAGCGTTGCCTCTTGCTCAAAAGAGGAACGCAATAGCTTATTTAAATGTGTTCACAATTTTCATCTAGCAATATAATGCACTTGGTCAATGACAGAAGACAGACTGCGTTTGATTCCTGGCCAGAAAACCCCCATGACTGACATGGCCACGGGGGGCCTTCATTGAGCAGGGGACTAACAATGGGCTGCAAATAATAATACCAATACGTTGTGTTTGGACCATCAAGTGCAATTCACACTGGGTTAGTTTTACAAACAAAAGTTATTTTAAGATAATAATAATAAAAAAAAATCTGTTTCAGAGCAATGTCAGCTTGACAGTAAAACTAAATATCCACATGATGTGTTTGCTGTTGATGGTCAATGACGCAGAGCGTCACATGTAGCACGTGACCAGATACACGTGGCAGTCCTGTGACAGTCCGTGGCTCATCAGGAGGAGCTCGTGACATCACTTGGCTCACCCTACATTAATGGCAGGCAAATTATTTTACGTCAAAATACAAATAACTTATATTAGGTTTTTGAAAATAATTTCGATATAGAGAATCCTTTCCAAGAAAAGGACAACGAGGTGAAGACATTGAAGGTAAAGATAAATACATAACGGTAAATCATTGTTTCCGTTGCTCAGAGGGTCATGTGTTGCAGTGGTCGGACCATGATGGCAATTCCACATCCCTATGGCTACGGTCAGTCTCAACAATGATACGATTCTTATAATAATAAATATTTTTTTATTCATGTTGGTGCTCATAGCTTTAATTTACCCACACTGAGATTTGAGCCGAATGCTCTGCCACAGCTACTCTGCTGGGGAAAAACATGACACTTAAACTTTTTTTTCTTAATCACGCTTGCTGAGCACAGGCCCAAAGGCTCAACACCAAGTGGCCAGCAACAAACGGCACTATTAATATTATAATGTATTAGCAATAGTATGTTTCTTTAATTGATCAAGGCCGTAAGAGGGAAGCAGCAGAAAGTGAAGTGTTGCCACCTGCAGTGTGGCGGCGGTTGAATGCGCTACGGAGCAGTCTGATGGACCAGGTCCTGAACATGGCTGGAGTAATGAATGAGTGAAGTTCACGGGAACAGTAGCCGTGATAGTTGGGAAGAAAGAGTGACTAGGAGGTGACTGAACCCCAGTGAATGAGTCAATCGTGTGACTCAATGAGTGCTCGATCATCAAATTAGCGTGACTGCTGTGCACTCACTGGAAACTGTGGCATGAGCCTTGTGGGAGGATGTTGCTCATTTAACAACCTTGCTCTTTGGAAGTACTTTATAGGTATTTTTACGTGACTTTTAGCAGAGATATAAGCAGTTGTCTGACACTGATGGAGGCATGGGCAATGACGCATACAAAAGGACCACCTCTTGGCTCGATGCAGAATGTTAACTTTGCCAAATCAGTATGCAGCAGTGCAAGCACTCCCGTTAAAACAACATCAGCATGTCTTGCTAATGTTTTGTTATCTATTCTGAAATAATGAACAAAAATACTAGACTCGCACGAACAGTGTTTGTAGATGACGCACGCCCCATTAATCTTGGAGCCATCAAAGCCCCTGACTAATTAATTCCGCCAATTTTTTTACTTTGCACCAAAAAATTGCACAAACATTTCACACGAGAACAGAAAAATGAAGAGAAAAACAGAATCTTTTCAAACGGAATTCTTTAGGGATAGATTTTTTTGTTTCTTCGTTTTCGCTCTTTTGACGAATATCAGAGTTCGGTAAAATCCAAACAATAATATGTAAAGTGCAATAAATTGATGGGTGCCAGCCTTCCTGATGTAATAAACATGTGCCGGCAATTTCCGGAGCTGGTGACGTTGAAATGTGGGATGGTGCAGCCCAAGCACCCGAGGCACGAGTGGAAACGGTAAAACACGAACGGTGATAAACCCCTTGGTGCTAGAGAGTTGCAACTTCGAGAAAAACTACATTCATAACCACAACCCAAATGCATTACATAAAACTGAATATACGCAAACCTTTCATCCAATGGTCATCGTATCTGTGACTTATAATACCTGATATTACAAATATAATTAATGTCACAAAGTTCCTCTTCGAATATATTTTTGTCTACGTGTTTTTTTTTCTTCTGGTGTGCATATACTACTCTTATTTAGCTACGGCCACTTGTGTCTCCCTTGCAAAAGGGAGACTGAATCTCGCTGGACTTTCACTCCTTCACCGTGTAAACAAGAGAATTGAATCAATATGCTCTCTCTCAGGTCACCCCGAGCTTGTCTGTCAGTGCGTTGCGGGGCTGGAGCACAGCTTCCGGCGACAGAGACTGGCACTCGTTCGCCGCGCAAGGTTCCCAGGCAGCCCCTCCCGGCGTGCGCGGGGAGGAATTTCCGCTCACACGGTATGCCGGTCGGTGCGACGTTTGTCTTGGCGGCTGCCCGCGGGCTGAAAGGCAGTCTTAATCCACAAGCTTGCCCCGACACCATCTTCTGCCACTTCCACTCTCTCCCTCTCCCCGTCTAAAGAATGCCCCCCCCCACCTCAATTCCCATCGCCTGCCAGATTGCCTTCTCGCCCTTCCTCCTCCACCAATATCCTACATTGGCACCTCCACATTCTCCACTGGCTTTAGTCCGTAAACAGAGCCTTCATTTTGAGGGCAGGGCAGCCCAGTTGTCAACGTGCCTGCCGCTGATCCAGAAGTTCGTACGTGGTCAGCGGTTCTGTTCTGCAGCTGCCTGCAATTTAACAACAGGCGTACACTCTCCCGTGAAGTGAATGTTAAAGCCACGGCATTAGAGTAGCATTAATTCTAAGTTGGTATTAATCCATTGGGGGTCACCTGGGCTAGGGGTCAAGGTAACCTATCATCCCTCTGAGATCAATAACATGACTACCACTTTTGCTCAGGGCTACCAAAGAGTATCCGTGCACAATCCTCATTTGAGCGCAGAGACACCTGACATTTGACTAAGCCACCTTCATTTTGTGACAGTGCCATCGTCAATATTACCCACAAACAAATTGACAAGGCCCAAAAAGCCTCTACTACATCAGCCTCAACGGGCAATCAATTGATTTGCCTTCACGGACCTTATTGTTGATCACCTTCCTGTTACTATACCGCCAATGAGGCTAGGGACAAAATGCTGAAAATGCACAGCATCTCAAGGAAGCTTAAAACAATACCCAATCTGGGAAAACGTATAACGTGCGCATCAAGGACAGATTGTGCAGCTCGCGTTGTGCAAGATGTGCTTCGACCACTACAGAAGCGGCGTGGTGGCTACCGCCTCAACATCGGCAGACAGATTCCCGGGTTCTTCCCAAAACAACCGCCGCTGGTGGCGCTGTGCGCCTGACTTAACCCACGTTGGCTCATCCAGTGTTCCACTATTAAGCGTGGGGTTATTTTTCTTTGCACGTGTTTTTTATTGAAGGTAAAAAAATGAAGGAAATATTTCAATTATTCATTCCATCAAAAGGCAAAGTGAAATCAAAACAGGATTGGGTCCAGGAAAAAAAACCGGACACAGGCTTTTCTTATGGCCCCAGTGTACGGAGCTGGAATAAATGTTCCCTTTCTTACCTTGGCAATACAACATCCATCACCATTCATGACCAAAAATAACAATGACAGCATTAAAGAATGGATCTTGAGAAAAGCCTGTGGTGTTACTACCACTGAAATGAGCCAACACACACAAGATCCCCCCTGTAGTCTGGATCGACTGCTGGTTGCAAGCACTGTTCGCGAGCACCTATCATCCCAAGAATAGAACGCAAGATGTGGGCACCTTTGTTTCCCCAGCGATGATGATGATGATGCTAAGCTCCATCAAACTATAACAGATCATACCGCCAGCACTGGCTACGGATCTCGATACCTTGAAACCTCTCACTGCAGGAAGTCACTCCAAATCGTGCGTGCTGCTGTTTGCATTTCTCAACTACAGTGAAACTATCCGCAAAGCGTGTTATCCATGGCACTAAAGAAGACCCATGGATACTCCTGTTATCTATGGGTGCATATTTCTGAGAAGAAAAACAAGCTCGAGAGAATTACTAAATTAGCCACTAAATTTTCTATGATTTGTTGTACCAAAAATGTTTTGCAAATGGATTTTTAATGGGATTTTTTAAAACGCAAATGTTTAAGGGGAGTGTCAACCCAACTCCCCAAACAAATCAGTTACCAGTGATGAAACCATCAGTTCTTATACTAGATAACCTAGTTTAATCAAGGGCAGCTGTCATATGTGAACCCACATTCTTAGGCGTACAAACTCAGTGCCCCGACCTCTGAGCCACCTCGTTATTAACAACCCTAATTTATACAAACACTCGAGTGCAATTAAAGTTTTAACTAGGCTCAACCCTGCGTAGTTTCATAGATCTGCAAACAGGGCGATTTTGTTTCAGGCTGAGATGAAACTATCAAAGTCACACGCGAGAAACTGGTTTCGTATCAAATGTCCCTCTGGAATGTATCGCCAGGATATCTGCCGCATTTGACATGGCCAGTAAACCCCAACTGGCCTTGGTTCTTCAGCGACCTCAGTGAAAGGGATTTTTAGAGCAATCGTTGAATATTTGAAAGCAACTACGCAGAGATGTAAAGACAGACTAAAGCTCACAGGGAAAACAAGCAAGCAATATTCTATAGATAATCACTTGAGGTGTGCCAGCAATTAGCACGACAGCTGCCTATGCACTCAAGCTTCAGTGGCTGACTGGGAGAGATGTCAGTTGCCTGCAGCATTGGGACAGGCTCTTTACATGTAATACGGCGAAAATAAACAGTGCCAGTGGGATGTCATGCATCTGCCACCAGGTCATCACCGAGAAAGCCGCACAGCACTCCAGCATTTTCCTTGTTGACTTTGACTCGTTATCGGTTTATCGCACAATCTCACTCTCCAGAAAGCCCCGGGACAGATGGGGCGAAAAGTAGGTGGGTGGGAAAGGGTAAATTAATCTGACATTATGGGTTCATGTCAACAACAGTACGTGTCTGTGTGTCATTAAGGAGTATGGCATGTTTCCACCAATACTGCATACTGTTATGTATAGAGCATATATAATTATCCTGCAAAAAGTATTTGGCACATTGTCAGAGTGGGCGTGTAAACCTGTGCAATTATAAAAAGGCATGTGGCGAGTAGTGCTGCTGGCAAAGTGCAAACTCACAATGAGTCAAAAGTTAAAATGCAAGTCTGGAGGTGAATTCAGCTCGTCGTCTTCCCTTTGGGGTTAATAAAGTGTGCCACTTGGTGGGAGTCAACAGTTGGTGCCATATGGAGAGGATGGCCCACAGCGAGGAGTACCACTACCCATTCATTACTCATTTTGAGCAGTGGCAAGTTGTGGTTATGAATGTAGATACGTTAATGGTTTGTGGGTGGGCATTTTACGTGAAAAACTAGTGTTATTGTGTAAAACATGTTTCCTGCTAAAAGTTACAATCACCATTGCAATGACAGTTTATGATGTCATTACTTTACAGACTACTGGTATAATTGTTGGGAATCTAAAAATATAATCATGAAATTAGTTGTATTGGAGACAACCATTGAAGACAGATGCATCTTTAAGATGCCATTATTTAAAGATTTATAATAAAAAAAAAACATTGGCACCCAAAGCATTGGCATCACATTCAAAGACTCAAGGTGTCCTCATCACATAAGCATTCTTGTTGATTGTAAATAATATCTACCATGAAATTGAAGTGTTTTCAAAGAGACATTTGGCTGTAATAAGTCTTATACTCGATTCGGAATAAAATCACTTATATATAAGCAGCAGGCTTGTTGTACATTTAAATCCAATACAAAACGTTTAAGACAAGCTGAGTGTATTTCACAACAGTGGAGAAATGTGAACATCTATTATTTATCTGCACAATACCCAGGCATTTTAATTATGACAATAATTTTTTATTTAGCTGATAAAATTGTCATCCCACAGAGGACTATTAGAAGCTAATTACAATTAATTACATTAACTGATTGAATAAATGAATAAAGAAGACTGCAAAGTTGTACTCTAAGGATTGTAAAACTTGAACATACTTTATTTAGCTCAAATCCAACCAAGCTTAGGAATAAATTAAATTTAGAGTTACATTATGGCAGTTTTAAGAGGGAAAGTACATTCTAGAATGACAGTAAATACCAATTCACCTTTGCATCATTCCCTAACAAAACAGCATATTTATTAAGCATGCAAATTAATACATGAAAATATTTACTAAGAAATATTTTTCGTGCGGCATATTTATGACCACAAGTAAATTCGGCCATGTAAGCACTCACTCACCTGGAGATTGCATGTTGGTACTGTAGTATTCCACATCCTGCACAAAACAAACAGATCGAAACCACACACTGCCATTAGTACACTTTTAAACATAACATCCAACCACAACATATTTGCTTTATTTTGAAGTGGGCTGATAGAGAACATTGGACTTTACAGTAGTGCTGCAGGTGTGCTGTACAAATACTATTACATTTTCTTACAATGCAGCATGATGAAATGTTATGTTTGTAGCAGAAATGCAATGAACTCTACATTAGTATATATTAACATCATCATTAATATACAAATTACAGTTTCGATTTAAAGCTTTCGTGACTGCAATGATTCATCTTCTTTGGTTCTTTCGGTAAAGTCACGTAGAATGAGAATAAAATAATAAATTGATAAAATAAAATAACACAATAATATTCTCACGACGTTTCGGCCACAACACAAGCGACCTTCATCAGGTGAAGGGGGCGAGACTGTCTGTCCTCCAGCGCTGTCCTACCAGACAGTCTCGCCCCCTTCACCTGATGAAGGCCGCTTGTGTTGTGGCCGAAACGTCGTGAGAATATTATTGTGTTATTTTATTTTATCAATTTATTATTTTATTCTCATTCTACGTGACTTTACCGAAAGAACCAAAGAAGATACAAATTACAGTCTTCATTATAATGTAGTTTCACTGGTAGTTTCACTGGTCAAAGAGTTAAATTAGTTTACTTAGATGAAATCCCAGAAAAAGTATTTGGCCAGGTGGTCCTATAATTAGATCACTTGGCATATAATTGGAAGGTTTCAAGTTCAAAACATGGTCACGGGTCGACTCAGCCCACCGCACCTCTTGGAATTTCCACAACCGCCTCAGGGCGCCCAATGGTGATGCACACTGCTCCATTTAGCCAACATTTTGTGAAAAATACGAGCAAATTGCGAATATTTTCAGCTAACATCATTTTTTTAATACAGTGGTTGGAGCTATCTTTCCCCCAACGAATGAATCCGGTCACATATCTCATTTCACGAATAGCGCGCTCATAAATAGAAGGGGACGGAATCAGTGTTTGATAGCAGAAGCTGGCACCTGCCCATTTTTCATAGGGCCCTTGCCCTGCTGATGATGATGATGCTGCTGCTGCTGTCGCCGCTGCTGCTTCTCCTGCGTCTTTTCCTGAAGCTTGAGCCGCAGCGAGTGCAGCACCAGTTCCACCACGCCGGGGCTGCACCCCGTCACGCTACGCACCACGTCCACCGGGACGTGCATTCCACACAGCTTGGAGAGCACCTTCCTGTTCACGCGCGCACACGCACAAGCACGCACCAACACACTCGCACACTCACTAATACACTCGTACATGTACACTAGCTAATACAACCGCCAACAACCACCATTCGCTACTAAGTGGGCGGTGACGTTGCCACGGCGCTTGTGCCAGGCTATGTGCACGTTAAGGCCACGTGAAGTGTCGAACGCCCGCTGGCAGGAGGTCACGGGGCAGAACCAGGTGCCATGGGTCGACTCACTGAGATGACTGGCCGATGCACCACCTGTGCACCCTACTGTGCCAACTTGCTGTGTTTTAGCCGCCCGGCACTTCGCTCGTTGTTGTGAGCGTCGCTCCTAATATGCATTTCTAATAATAGGTTGCATTTTGCAATACCTGAATGACATTAAATCACTCACACACGAGCACGCACGAATACACTCGCACACGTACACTCGCTGACGCATTCACCAATTGCAAGTCAAGTTGAAGTGTCCTCCCGCTGAAATGTATGTATCTATGTATTCATGCTGAACTTTTTTCCCACCGTACGTACCCAACCGTGCTTATCGGCAGTGTTCATTTCCATCGCTTAATACTCACGGATGGGTTTCCTAGTTCAGAGTCGAGGCACATATCTTAAACATAATCATGTTCTGGTGTTTTTTGTTTATCGTTAAAGTTACCTATTAATTATCTTAAATGTAAAATCTAAACGTTTACAACGAAATATAAACCAATAACACATGTTTGTATCCCAACATAATGTTTTTGGGGTGTTTTCAAGAGACATTGTAAAATTCTGCTCAGAAGAAAGGACAGCCTAAAATATTGTACATGCGCAGCCCTTTTGTAAACAAACCCACCGTGGGCTGAGGACCTCCCCACACCGTGCAGGCCATTGGGGTTACTTAACCATATTTCACCGTGCTGGTGAGTGTAAGGTGGTGAAGGCGAGGAACACAGAGTACAGTACAATAATGGGGTTTCTCTGCACTACCGTCAGCTGCCCACCTCGTAGCCCTACTACTGCTTGAGCCTGGTGGTCATTCGTCCAAGCAATGTCCAGGCTCAACCCAACTTAGCAGCGTGCATGCAGTTCTGCCAATGCAATCCTCTTTAGGTTTAATGTTTGATGCAACTACATATGAATAAATCAGTGAATAAATTGTCGAATTATGAATACCTTGGCTGTTACTTCAGCAGACTCGTGACTTACAAGGGCACCCATTTAGATCTTGACTCAGTCCGTCATCCCTGCAGGGTTAGTGACGTGCACCACACCTGGTGAGAGTCACCAGTCGTCGCTCTACGCTTGCACACACCTGTTCAGCGTATTCCAGTTGCTGAGTTTTTGCTGCACTGAGTTGGCCGGGATGTAATTGTGCATCTCCACGATCCGGGGAAAGAAGTGCTTGACCAGCTCAGCCACCATCACTGCATTACACGCAAAAGGGGCGTGAGAAAATGGGCAGCGAGGGTCAACGTTTTTAGAGGTTGTACGATGTGACATCATCCGAACTGTAAAGAGAAGTGGACTTGGGCAGGACACGTCCCAAGGTGGGACGATAGACGATGGTCAAGAATAATAACGGAGACGGCGCAATGGGGGTCAGTTAATGTGCAGGTTCTAGATGGATTGTTGCGTTGTTGCATGATGAGATGTTGAGGCATTCATCCAGCAGTGGATATATCATGGTTGGTAATGATGTGCGATGTGGGCAGTATAATGTAGCATTATTTTCTATTCACTGAATATACTGGGGATAATGCAATTAACACAAATTATGCAACAATTAGAAGAAATGTAGGTAAAAATATACTTTTCTCAATCACAAACTATCATGTAACGGTATGACTGACATATTTGTAGATTTCAAAAAGTATGGCTTTTGAAGTAACAAAGTAATTTGTTCACATTTTGAGCAGTAAGATAAACCCACTGGACTCTTAACTCGGCATGTAACTATGCATTTATTGATTTAAATAAACTCTTAAGACTCTCAATGCGTGCATCAATTGTGCTTGTGAAAATCAATAAGCAATGCTTTATACAGTATAAATCACATACTAATTATACCCTCTTACAATTTGCCCCGTGGGATGGATAAAACCGTGCAAACAGCACAAAAATAAGACCATAAAACAAATGAGACGGCTTAATTTAAACCTCGAATCAAATCATGACCGCAGACTTTGGAAATTCATTAACTCACTGCGAAGGAGGGGGTACATTGTAAAATGTCTTTTTGTGCCCAATGTTTTCACACAAAATGTGAAATGTCATTCAGGTATTGTCACAAGCCTTGGTTCGCTAGCTACACAGCACACAAATTATGTCATTGTGGAGCGTGTGAGATGAATATCGCATTATACCTGCACTGTCGTGGACACGAGGGCAAGTGGACATTGGCCAGCACTTAAAGAGGCCGGCTAGTGCGGCTGCTGAGTCTTCATGCACTTACGCGGCACTCGGCTCGACAAGCCACTCAAGTGTCCTCCAAAGCCAGGAACAGGATGGAAAGTCTGGACTCCGGCCATTGGATGTAAACATAAGGGGAGGTAATATTGCCACGGCAAATATGGGCCTGGCACAAACGTGTTTCTATTTGTTTAAAGCACACTACAAAAACAAAGTAAATGTTTTCTGCCAATTTCACGCAATATATTAAACAGACACATTACTTTGGAGGGATGAATACATTGCAAAGCACACGACTATGCAGTAATGCTACGCTCAAATTAATCACTGGTCTAAAGCTCTATGAAAGTGCTTTGCTCCATTAGTTTTGCTATAAAACATTTTGGACATCCCTCCAATCAAATCTCACCCTGGACACAGTGGTTGTGCTCTACGCTTTGAATCGGACAACATGAGTTCGACTCCCGGCCACAATCACCCTGAGCCACCATTAGTGCCCATATTAAAAAAAAAGTGTCTCGCTGCTCTGAAGAAGAAGCCGACTATAATCATCGCCGTACTTTGCCTGGATTCGAACCCCAAATATCAGTGCCAGGCCCTGCTCCAGCTCTTCTCGGATTTGTGGGCGTGGGGGTCGACCAAGTGAACTTGGGTGGTGTCAAAGGACATTTGCAGTGCAGGGCTCACCCCAGTAATTTAGATTATTTTGATGCTACAAATGTCCACATGATAAGCCACTTTGTTGAGCTATCATTTGTGGCCAGGTTGCTTCTGAAAAATAAGCTAATAGCTCAGTGGGCTTTACCTGGTAAGATTTTTTTTATAAAAAAACTTTTGTTGTATTTGTTGATTGTTTTACTGATTTGTTTACATTTTCCTATACTTTGCACTCCTATCGTGCTTTTGCATTGTTTTATCATTGTGACGTTCGGACCCGACCTTGACCGGACATCTGCGAGAATAAAACCCAAGAGCCTCACAGCTCATCGGATTCCTCCTGCGGTCTCAAGAAAGATTAACGAACGCCGCAAGGGCCAAGCCGAGTGGAGGGGCCACGCCGAGTGGAGGGGCCACGCCGAGTGGAGGGGCCAAGCCGAGTGGAGGGGCCACGCCGAGTGGAGGGGCCACGCTAGCCGGGGGGGGGGGGGGGGCACGCCTCTCGCCACCGCAGCGTTACCGCCGTCGCTGAAGTCGCGGGCGATGTTGCGCTTGGGCCGAGAGAGCGGCACGGTGTCGATCCACGCGTAGAGCTCCTGCAGGGCCTCCTCGTCCAAGCCGCCCTCGGGCACCATCAGCCCCGAGGAGAGGGACGAGGAGGACGAGGAGCCCTGCTGCCCGGGCAGCGCGCAGCCCCCAGGCCGCCGCTGCCGCTGCTGCTGGCTCATTGTGGCCATGGGACAAACTGTGATGAGCTCGTTGCCGGGCACACACGGACACACACGCGCGGACACAGGCAGAGACACGCACGCAGAGCTCGCCTCGAACTGCCCAGGTACCTGTGAGCTTTGTCGCTGTCTCTCGAGCACAGAGAGCCGACTGAGTGTGGCGGTACAACGCGTTTGTTTACGCGGCGTCGCTATGGAGACGGGTGGGGACACGTGCGTTGCGATTGTGTGTGTATGTGCAAAGGCGTGTGTGTGTGTACACATAGGGACGTGTGTGTATGCATAGGTGTGTGTGCGTGTGTGTACGGGGAATAGTAGTGTAGCGGTTAGCGCTACGCTGCGCTACGAACCCGGCTACCCAAGTTCGATTCCCGCTCACGGCCAACACATACAGTGCCGATTATCTGAACCGGTCCTGGGCCTCCCCTAGGTCGACTCAGCATCAAATTAGTACCTGGTGAAGTGTGTAAAATTCATTGCCACTGGGGAGAAAAGGCAGCCGGGCGTGGTGCTGGCCACCCACCCCCTCGTGTGCCGTGGCGGCCGTCATAGGTGCTCGCTAACAGCACTTGTCCCAACAGTCTGTTACAGGCTATACGGGGGATCTTTGTGTGTACGCAAAGGGGTGTGTGTGTATACGTGTCGGTGTTTGTGTATGCACGTGTACGGGCTGGAGAAGAGATGGACTGATGCGGTACGGGTGGGTTGTGGAGCTCAGTGGACTTGCCGAAGACCGGTTCAAGCGGCAAGCGGTGTCAAGTTCGGCCTCTGTGGAGGAGGCTCGTGAAGGATGCTACTGGGCAGTTGGAGGCAGTCGCCCTCCAACAACAACGGAGGGCGGAGGAGCGACGCTCACAACAACGAGCGGAGCGCCGGGCGGACACACATCCCCCCCCCCCCCCCATATTAAAATATGCTCAAAATGTCCCCCCCAATATATTGCTATTAAATAGATTTCTGTTTATATGATTGTGGTTATGGTTGTACTTTATGAATCCCGAATCCCTGCCATTACACACAATGAAACAAGAAATGGTAAAAAAGAAAAAAAAGAAATGTAATACAATACACTATTAGACATTATTGTAAAAAATAATAAAAAGTCCATCCTATGTTAGTGATTTTTTTAGGCAGGAAATGGCAGGAAATTAGTTTTCAAATTTATATTTTTCTGGTGGGGGGGGGGGGGGACCCCTCAGACCCCCTGGAAGATTTGGTCCCTCCCAATGTTGACTCCATGGCTACAGCCTTGCCGCAGTCAGTCACCGTGACCTTCTGTCAGGGAGCCTGCGACACCTGGTCTGGCACAGGCCACTTAGTAGCGAATGTTGGTGTGTGTGAGCGCTCATAAACCACTACGTTACCGCTCCACCCACATACTGCAAAGTGGCACACGTATCCGAGATATGGAAATGAGCACACACATTGACAAGTACAGCGTGATAAAAGTGTACCTTACAAAAGAAACTAGCCAAGCGTGTTTTTGTCACAAACCAACTGTTTGTCCATTTTATTGTACAGTACAATTGCACAATTTTTCTCAAGTCTTGGGCATTTGCCAGCACAACATCGGTGTTTAAAATGCACTTAATATTTTTTTGACAAAAAATTTTAAACAAGGAAAAGTAAGATTGTAAAAAATTCATCGGATGAATCAAGTAAAAAATTGAACCGCAAAAACCTTTCTCAAGCAAATATTAGTATTGAAAAATATCTAAAAGGTCTATGGATGAATAACCCATTTAACACTAGTTTCAAATGGCTGTGTAATAGTTACATGTTTACAGCTGCAAATTAATAGAAGTCAGAGCACAAACATTTAAAATAAAGCATTGACATTAAGTAAAAAAGAGCTAGTTTTTTTTCTCTGTTGATTACTCATTTTTAGCTTAAATATAACGAGTACCGTCATGGAAATGTTGGTAAACCCAGCTGCAATAATGTCAAATATAATACTGTAGCAGATGTTAAGACATCCATACGTAGTAACCGATCCTTCATGCACCATAGATTTTTTTTAAAATATAAAATTCTCTCCGAGTTCGCAATCGATGGCTACTCACTCTTAACATTTCACTTGGAACACTCACTCTACATACTGCATGTATTTTTGGCAGAGGTTGCTACCAAGCTTGGATGATTAATTTTACTGACCAAATCACCTGCTTGACAGAGGGGCACGTGATGTCACACAAACGGCCAACCAACCCAACGCTTGGTTCACAACTGATGCCGCTCTGCCTTGCTCGCAGTGCCAGTTAAACGTTAGTTTTAGAAGACAGCTCGCACTTGATTTGCGTAATTATTATTTAATTGAAAATAGCAGTACATTTATTCCAAATACTGTATTGTTGATTTGACAAATTCCACTAATAGGTCCTACAAGCCCTCCAATACTGTTGTCTAAGCAAACTCGACCTAATGCAGTCTATAAACAGACTAACTGCTTGCCACAGAATACACGTTATCCAAGACACTCCTAATAAGTTAACACACTTGCTCAAATTACTTTCTATAATGTAATAACCATAAGGCAGCAACGTTTTATGCTCCTTTCCATCATCCCACCCTGGTCAACCCACTCCTGCAAAGAGTGTGACAACAAAACAAAACGAGACGTGAACGGTGGGTACTGGGTAGAGTCCTGGCAACGTCACAGACAAAACGCTCAACATGGCCGGATCGTTACGACCCATCATTGCGCATGCGCTCCGCTCCAAGGTTCATTCCCAGGTGAACAGGAAAGTTGAATTTTAGCCAGAATAAGCAAGCACTCGTGCTGAGCAAACACCAGCGGCACGGTTATGGTATTCTTCAATGGCCACAAAGTACGTTGATGCATTTTCAGCTTTTAATAGGCACGGCTGAAGCTGCAATTTTGTAGGCACAAGACTAGCACACTACAGCCCATTCAAACAGTTTCGTCAGTGCAAAATGCATCTATACCAGAGACATAAACTTTTACAAACTGAGCAACCATGTAAATGGCCCGTATACGCCGAATTGGTCAAAGAGTGCTCATTATTGCATTTCATTACAACATTACATACGTATGGCGGTGGAAAACTGCAGTAGGCTTTATTTTTAACCATAACACTCATGCAACAGTAACATGATGACATCACATCAGTCAGCAGGTACTAACTGTATTTTGCAATGCTATACAGTGCTTTATACTTTCATGAATTTACCATAAAATAGTAGAGTGGCAATGAGGGGCTAATGACTGAATTCCCTTCTAACCAATCAATACGTCAATATTTTAATGTAAATTCATGGGGTTAAAGCTAGGGTTGAAAGCTCACAGGACCAATCTACGACATTTAGTGCAGACGACGTCTAAAAGAACACGATGCCTCCACGGAACACACAGGGGCTTCATTAGTTTCAGAAAAAGCAGAAGGCGTTTTAAGAGGCGCTGTATACAACGTAAGTTACAATTATAATACTAGCTTACATCACAAAATACAAGAGACCATGGTGCATGTCTCACTCAGCCCTACTTTATTGGCATCATACCTGAGTTGCAGGTCTTGCTGTAGATATAGTGTCCCATGAACACATGGGCTCTAAATACAAAAAACCTCATAGTGATACAATGACAGGGCCACCAGGGCAAGGCTGCTAGCAGTCACTCAATTCTCTGTCATGTAAAGAGTTAGAGGTCAATGCCACATGAGCTCGACTATACTCAATTCCCTGCGTGTGGTTAAATCGATCTAGGCGAGGCGATTACAATAAATATAGCGTCTGAGCTAACCTCTGCTCAGCTACGTTTGTTATGCGAACACCATGGCAATTCCAGGGTTTTAAGTTGTGGTGAAACAGTCAATTGGGTTAAGTATCTGTAACAGGCTTCCATCAGGTACTTCAGCACAAGCGATCCAACCATAACTAGGAACACAACTTGGAATCCCTAACTAGGAATCCAACCATGTGCCACTGAATTGTCCGTACATCTTTCCAGCATCTCCATCACTGGCAACGGTTCGTCATTTGAAAGTGGGTCTACCTGGAGGAGGTCTTCACGTACAATTCACTTCTGAGTGGTCAGCACCATGCATTAATGTCAGGCTGTCAATCTCAAGGTGGCTTTCATCAAGACAGTACTAATAATTTCAAGCTGGGTTGACCTTGTGTAGATGGAGCAGCAGAGCTGCTCTACACCGGCTATAGAAGCAAACATCGACTTGGGAGTAGTAACTGGAGTGGAGTGCATCACCCAGTTGCTATGAATCACCTTTACCCTCTTTTGAACTGCCCAGAGTAAACAGCCATCTGTTTTGTACAGCTCGTAATTAATGTAGCTATTGCAAACAGACAGGAAGGTCTGACAGCAGCATCCCCCTTTGCAAGTTTACTGCTGACGATCTGACTTTTCCTTTATTGTCTGCCGTCAGTTAGATAAATCAAAATGTGCCCCTCGCAAGCAGGCCAAGAGTTTGGTGCTGGTGCACCGCGGTCGTCTGGTATTTATTTCTCGAGCAAGAAAAGAGTTCTTTCTTTTTGCGCGAGGCAAACCTGCGTAAGACCTGCGTAAGACCATGTAAAATAAACAACCACGATCATTGATCACTGATGACACTAACAAGATGCCAGGCAGACACAACTGCAGCAAGCCAGCACAAATAACAAGACAACTCATCCATCTGTGTTATGAGCTTTTTATAGTGCAACAATTGGGGGGGGGAGATGGATGCATTTAGGAATTTGGGGTTAAATCAAAGAGTAGTAGAATTAAATATAATCGATTTGTAAAAATCAATCAATTGTATTTAACTACGGAATAATATTTCCTGCTTGACAATGGAGAGGATAAATGAAGGTCATTACTACCACAGTCCACTGGTCATGTTAAGTGAAGGTCACACAATTCCTGCGGAACCAGCCACAGAGAAGACATTGAAAGCGCCCAGCTGTGGTGGGGTGGCTATTTGAATGGGCAGAATAAAAAACGGTGTACTTCACGACCGATTCCCCGTGCTCGTAAAAGTGAGATCACTCACACGTGTTTGGGCCAGACTTGCCCAATTAACTTGATTAATCGACTAACTCGTGGGCGCCTGAAACATCGTATTAGTGAGGTTGTCAAATTATGCCATTTTATAAAAAAAATATTAAAATTATGGTCGTAAGTTTTTTTTTCATAAATCCGAGTGAAAAGATTAATCAACTGATGTTCATATAAAAAACCCCCATCAGTTTACAACTGTTAAAATACTGTAGATACATTAATTTATAACACACCGTTCCGCCATTTTATAGAGATATACAGATGTATTCCATCATGAAATAACATGATTGGGTCACATTTAAATATTTTTAAAATGGCAGTTGCATTAGTTGTATTTATTTAGAGTAACCAAAATTGTGTTTTTACTTATTTTTTTATTTACTTAAACTTGTGCCGAAAAATAATAAATGTCCTGATAGAAAAATTACGTTTACTGCACCATATACTGTCGACTTATTTCATTACGTCTTCATAATTAACTTTTTGTTTGTAGCCTAGTTTCCCGGGCACAACATGAAATATGAACCTGTGGATTGCACCATCGCTTATGGAAAGGTTTAATCACCAATGTGATGATCTACGGTATAGAGTATGTGAAATTTTGATGATCTACGGTATTTGTGAAATTTTGATGATCTACGGTATATGTGAATTTTTATTATCTACGGTATATGTGAATTTTGATGATCTACGGTATATGTGAATTTTGATGATCTACGGTATATGTGAATTTTTAAGCCATTTATTTTGGCATGAAAGGCGGCCGCATTAAAATAAAACTGACAGTGACACTTCAATCAAAGCACGCGGTCTTGGTAAATAATAGTGAGCAGATTTACATGGGGGGTTGAGGAGAACGTGAGGTTCGGTGGAGATTGTGGATGTGAGTCACAATGCGATATATGGCGCTCTGCGAGGCCCATTGAAATCCTACACTGCTTCAGTCTTCTACTGAATGTGCAAGAGTGAGTTGTGTGTGCGCACTTAATACCGTCAACATTTAAACATTTAGCTTACGCCTCACTCTTGTGTCGAGGTTTAAACATCACCAAGGAAAGTCTCACTGAGTCTTTAGAACTATTTGTCAATGAGTGTCCTTTTTATTACAAATTTTGTCCTGTTTCCAATGAGAAACCGGTTCACCAGAGGTGACCCTGCACCAGCAGTGGAAATTCCACATTCACATGGCAGAGACTACAAACGTGACAAAGTTGAATAGTCACGGCTTAACCCATGACCCCCCTGGTTTCAATAAAGTGAGTACACTTTGCGGTTAGACAGCAGTGGTTGTCTTAGGGAGAAATTTGCATAATGCTCATAATGAGGAATTGGCCTAACATTTATATGCAACGTCACTTCTGAAGAAGCCTTGAGAATCAGTGAGGTTTTCCTATATGACTACATCGATTATTCTTCTTATGGGCTGAGACAATAGACACTGTTTATTTATGATTTAACTTTTAGAAAACTGGTTCCCAAAAGGGGCTCTGAAAGTCCACAAAGGACTATAAAGACATGTATGCACTCATGCGAATAGAACAGAAATACTCCAAACAAGCATGCTAAGATACAGAGCAATACACGGATGAACAAGCAGGTGCAATGTGCACACGATGTCTGCACGTCCATCCATTTGACAGCTCTGTCATTAGCTGAATTGAGATCACAAGATCGCATTACTCTTGAGTAACCGTTTTCAATTGAAGGTCATTGAGATTACACGGAATCGACTTCAAAGTGTTCACAGTTCACGAAACGCCAGAAACCAATCATCCAGAATTCGTCCCCACATATTAGATATTACATATGTTTTTCATATTCACCAATGAACACATTCTTGCAGCCTCTTTACAAACAAGTTTATAATTACTGCGTTAGTAAAACATATGAAATGGCACCGTGGAGAGGCATGTTAAGTGGAGTTTTGGATTTCCCTGTTCAATGGTTAACCCTCAGGTTAAATCAATTTGAAGTTTTGCATGTATAAGAATACCATATAGCAATGCCTGTTCCACATCCGAATGTGGATGAAATTATATTTGCACTCAGTCTGACAATTACAAGGATGTCTTTTCCCCCTACCTTTTAAATCACCTTTGATATGTGCTTTGCTGGAGCCAGCACATTTAACCAGAACGAACATCCAATGGATGTTGAGACTGATGGAAATCTGAAACAGCAACAGCAGCAGAATGAATTATTTTAAAACGCTCCATAAATGTCATAGAAAGTGGTTATTCTCTTTGGCAGCCATCGCAACCATTTAGCAACAAGCGCCTTGAAATGTTTACCCGAATTAAAACCCGTCAAGAGATAAATCTATATGCAACTGGAACACTGTTGTAAAAAAGTGGCTCTTTTCTAATCTAACTTACGCGTGCGATACATCACGTCCACGCGGCATGTGAGATACATTAGGGCAGTTCCACAGCGGCGTGAACCAGGATTACCAATTCTACAAATGCACATTGTGTGTCAGTGTGCTGAGCTCATCTCAATTGGGCATGCGGTGCACCAGGGACGGGTTTATGAGCTCCAGTCACGTAGGAGGAGGTGCACTTGGGTGTAAATTGTAAATTGGTGTTTGCAGTGGAAACACGCGCCGGAATGAACAATATAAAATTTTGATCAAGGCAGAGGTGATTGGTTGGCTCGGACGGCTCACGCTCCGTGCACGTGAGAACACTGAGCCTGCACTCTTGAGACTTCACATTTGATCTGTGGACACAGCCCGACACGAAAGCACGATGCCCCCATGGGTGTTTGTTCATCCTTCTTGGGCGATTTACAAATGATTTAACCGGGTGGAGCTGTGGGTAGAGTGGTAGACGCGTAATCAGAGTGCACGAATCAAAATTCTGGCTGGAGATCAATTTAGCCCATCATCCCCGCAGAGTCGTTAAAATCAGCACCACTTTTTTGGGAAGTGGTGGTCTTACTCCCCTCTCTCTGTGGAATTTATGATACTGGCTGAGGATCACCAATGACGATGATCCCAGCCAACGCTTGCAAGAGTGTGGGAACGCTTTCATTGTTTTGATTAACTGATGGCTGTACAAAATAAGAAAGAAAAAAAAACGTGGTTTTACAATTAATCCAACCCCAGCTCTGTCACAAGAGAGCTCCTTCGTTGCATGAGATAGACCATTGAAGGGTGCTGTATTGCTGCCTTTTATGCCACCTGAGTTATTAACCTACAACACATGTGGTGCATTTATTAAAACAAAATATCCATCGCTACCATGGTGAGATGTTTAATGTGCGATGTGTTGCGCTGTGGAAGTGTGGAGACTGTATAACAGTTTTGTTTTACACAGCTTAAGGTATGCCTGTACAAACATATGTCAAGAGTAAATGCCTTATTCACCGCTGTAGCAATTAAACATTAAACAATATTTTATTGAGATGACGCCTATTGTGTTCTCTTGTGAAGGCACACGTTGTGAGTGCAGGAGGAGATTTGAGAGTGGCTGATACAAGAGGAGGTTGTCCAAGTACCACTTTCAAACAACGTTAGCTTTGGGTGCCCATGTCATACAAAGCTCAGGGGTCCATTTCCTTCCAGGTTTATCTGCCCGAGCATTTAAAACGAAAGGTAAAGACTTACACCATCAGGTGGAGTAAAACAAAAATGTCATTCTAAGATAATATTTCACTATTTCACTGAGCCTCAAAACATTTTCTGCAATGTCTTGCTTCACGATATTGGAAATTCCCTTATTGCATTTCTGTCAGGTGTGAGAGGAAACTGCCGACAGAGAGAAACGCCACGCACATGACAGATGAAAACTAAAACTCATAAGAGTTAGACACAAAACATTATGTCTGCGTTGCACGCGTCACATGTGAACTTTACTGCTCAGCAGTCGTCTGATGCAGGCTCCATCTCCGTTCAAGCAACAAATCCTACCGCCAGGTGACTGGACTACGGGGGTAATGCCACCACGCGTGGCTGGGTCTATATGAGCGGCACTCGCCGGCGCTTTGTGTCAATTCAGTCGGCCACACTTTATGCGGTACGAGTGATCGGAGGAAACCCTGGTGGGGCAGGCTAGCCGCTTGAACCTTGAGGCCACCACGGCTGCTGGTGGTTGCCTGGAGTCGCTCCCCTTTGGTCGTCTCGTGGAGAGGAGGCGATGAGTCACCGGGGGCTCGCAGGACGCTGGGCCTGGGACTGCTGCAGGGCAGCCTGCAGCTGGGCCACAATCTACAATCCACATACAAGGACAGTGCAGTGCTCTTGATGGCAGATGGACAGCATCGGGGTCAATAACGTCACCCTTAGGCGTGTTGGCATGGTGCCACCGTGCCACGGAAGGTATCGGATTAAGCAACGTTTATTAATTTATTTATCCCTCTTATGCCACCATAGACGATGACGATTTTCATTCGTAGAAATATTTTTGATCCAAATCTAATACTAAATTCATAGCCAAGTCCAAGTGTAATTTGCTCAAACACTTGCGTGGTTTGAATTAAGCCAGCGGTTAATATTCCACATACCTATAGCAGGGAATGATAAATCCCATAGGCTGGCTACCTCCAACAAAGAGGCATTCATTACTACCAACCCCAGAAGTAGGATGGGCTGGGTTGGTCCTCGATATGAGGACCAACCCAGCTCACTCCAATTGTGAGTCGAGCACCATAACCACGGCGCCATCACTGCACTGCACACTTGAAACACACCTCAGAGGGCACGCGAATGGCAGCGATACGGCGGCATGCTGGGTGTGGGAGTCGTGCACACCTCTTATGCAGTGCCTGGAAATTGAGCTGGTGGGTCAGGGTGCGTGGGAGGAGGGGGGGGAGTTTCTGTGGTAATTATTCAAGAGGCACAGTTGAGGCATGTAAAGATTCACCCCCTGCACGAGTTGACAGATTATCGTCATTTGGGACCCATGATTCTATATTCTATTCCAGCATTGATTCTTGTTTGCCTTATTTGTACTCTCTTATTGGCACCATCTGTCTCAGTTGATCTCTATTGACTGCTCTGTCTCGTTCTTCCCATTACGCCAAGAGGTAACATTTCAAGGGACAAGTAACACATTCACTGGCTTTGGTTAAAGAAACGTCAAGTTTAAATTTTAGAAAATACTGCTGTTGTTGTGCGTACGGCAACACTTTGCAAGATAAGAGAAGATTCAATGAGCAAAAAAATATCAATGGGTAATAATCACCTGCAGGTTTTTCACCTTTACTGGAGGCAAAGGGCGACCAGGAGCGGGTGGGCAAGCCTGTGGAATCACAAACATCAACGTGAACACCAGAGTTTTACAGCAGAACCAATAACATCTGGGGACATCAAGTGCAACAGGAGCATTACTAGAGAAATGCACCTGCGATGAACACGGTTGGCTACGTATGGTGCGAAAGAAGTTCAATATACATACAAAGAAAAACATGATTAATAAAAACCTGGGATTGCAAAAAAACAATTAAAAACCTCAAATACCACACAATGCGCTACAAATGTCAGATTTTTATGCTAAAATTAAATACACATTTAATTTTGATTTAAAGCTTTCGTGACTGCAGTAATTCCTATTCTTAGTTTTTTCGGTAAAGTCACGTTGAAGAAAAACAACAAAATATATATAAAACAATAAAAAATTCTCACGACGTTTCGACCATAACTCAAACGGTCATCATCAGGTGTGTTGGTTTGCATAAATTTATTTTTAAACGGCACATTTATTTATTTATTTAAAAAAACGTTGGCGTCACGTGCAGCGATTGGCAGTTGCGCGTAACGCCAACGTTTTTTTATAAATAAATAAATGTGCCGTTTAAAAATAAATTTATGCAAACCAACACACCTGATGATGACCGTTTGAGTTATGGTCGAACGTCGTGAGAATTTTTTATTGTTTTATATATATTTTGTTATTTTGTTGTTTCTCTTCAACGTGACTTTACCGAAAAAACTAAGAATACATATTTAATGTTTTACAAAAACAACATGTATCACGGATTTCATCCCACTAGGGTTATTGTTAGTCATTTCATGAGGCCTATAAGCACCCTACGGGACCTCATCCAGGCAGCAGCAGCAGCAGCAGAGCCTCTCGGCTTGCCAAGGAACGGCCCAAGAAGCTGACACAACAGACGTCTCTCTGTAGCCCGGCCCTCTCGTTACAAAGACTACCCAGCACCACTCGGTCGTCAATCTAGAGTGGTGTGCCATATGACAATCGTTCAATAAGTTCTAAATGTTACCCATTACAGCTTGGGCCATTCCAAATTCAAATAAACTTAAGATGACCTTTTTTTCTGCATGCATTATGGGACTTGTGGATTCTGTCATGGTGCCATGCTTAGCAGTGCACTGGACTTGCAAAGCAGAGGTCGCCGGATCGATCCCATCTTCCGGCGTGGCAGTAAAAACAACTGTGCACATCTTTTTTGCATGGGGCTGAACTATTATATTTTATTAGTGACTGAGCGTAAACGATAAACCTCACTGCACTTGAGTGATTGCATTAATCATAGGTGGCCACCTGCATATGAGCCCAGGACCTTTAGTAATACAGTGAGGTAAAAAAGTATTTGATCCCATGCTAATTTGTACGTTTGCCCACTGACAAAGAAATGATCAGTCTATAATTTTAATGGTAGGTTTATTTGAACATTGAGAGACAGAATAACAACAAAAAAATCCAGAAAAACGCATGTCAAAAATGTTATTAATTGATTTGCATTTTAATGAGGGAAATAAGTATTTGACCCCTCTGCAAAACATGACTTAGTACTTGGTGGCAAAACCCTTGTTGGCAATCACAGAGGTCAGACGTTTCCTGTAGTTGGCCACCAGGTTTGCACACACCTCAGGAGGGATTTTGTCCCACTCTTTTCAGATCTTCTCCAAGTCATTAAGGTTTCGAGGCTGACGTTTGGCAACTCGAACCTTCAGCTCCCTCCACAGATTTTCTATGGGATTAAGGTCTGGAGACTGGCTAGGCCACTCCAGGACCCTAATGTGCTTCTTCTTGAGCCACTCCTTTGTTGCCTTGGCCATGTGTTTTGGGTCATTGTCATGCTGGAATACCCATCCACGACCCATTTTCAATGTCCTGGCTGAGGGAAGGAGGTTCTCACCCAAGATTTGACGGTACATGGCCCCGTCCATCGTCCCTTTGATGCGGTGAAGTTGTCCTGTCCCCTTAGCAGAAAAACACCCCCAAAGCATAATGTTTCCACCTCTATGTTTGACGGTGGGGATGGTGTTCTTGGGGTCATAGGCAGCATTCCTCCTCCTCCAAACACGGCGAGTTGAGCTGATGCCAAAGAGCTCCATTTTGGTCGCATCTGACCACAACACTTTCACCCAGTTGCCCTCTGAATCATTGAGATGTTCATTGGCAAACTTCAGACGGGCATGTATATGTGCTTTCTTGAGCAGGGGGACCTTGCGGGCGCTGCAGGATTTCTGTCCTTCACGGCGTAGTGTTACCAATTGTTTTCTTGGTGACTAGGGTCCCAGCTGCCTTGAGATAATTGACAAGATCCTTCCGTGTAGTTCTGGGCTGATTCAACACCGTTCTCATGATTATTGCAACTCCACGAGGTGAGATCTTGCATGGAGCCCCAGGCCGAGGGAGATTGACAGTTCTTTTGTGTTTCTTCCATTTGCGAATAATCGCACCAACTGTTGTGACCTTCTCACCAAGCTGCTTGGCAATGGTCTTGTAGCCCATTCCAGCCTTGTGTAGGTCTACAATCTTGTCCCTGACATCCTTGGAGAGCTCTTTGGTCTTGGCCATGGTGGAGAGTTTGGAATCTGATTGATTGATTGCTTCTGTGATTGATTGATTGATTGGAGGGGGTCAAATACTTATTTCCCTCATTAGAATGCAAATCAATTTATAACATTTGACATGCGTTTTGCTGGATTTTCTTGTTGTTATTCTGTCTCTCACTGTTCAAATAAAGCTACCATTAAAATTATAGACTGAAATCAGGAGGGGATAAAATACTTTTTTCCCTCACTGTACATGACAATGCTATGACGACATGAAGAGAAGCAAGCACTACGAGGCATGGCGACTAGCTTCTGTTAGGAATTCAGATGACAATACTGACTCATGTGGTCCTCAATGCTCATGAAAACACATACTGCCCATGCACATGGCAGACACTGGAGAGGAAAGGAGCAGTTTCTCAAGAAGCGAATACCTGCTCAAAGAAAAGAAATGAAGAATTGTAAATGCATAAAAACAATAGCAAAATAAGGGCTGGGATTTGAATCCTATAATAATGAATTTCGCAGTGTTCCTCAGCCTGTCACCTGAAAATTTTGGCAATGCATTTCACAGGACGCAAAATGCAATATGTTTTTTAGTTTAATGTTAAAGATCACCACATTCCCAGACCTAAATAAAACGAATGTCTGGGTAATAAACGTTCATCTGGATGTGAGGATTGTAATACGAGATGACAGAGGAGAAATACAAGTACAGGACTCTGCCAAACCTCAGATTAATGAATCACTAGGAAATGCCTCTACTCTCAGACACAAATGACATGATACAGACAGGAAAAAGGAGAATATACAAAATTGGAATATGTGCATTTGGACACATTTCAACATTGGCTTAACGAGACATGATTTAAAAGATAGCCAAAGCAGTGAATTGGCTTCCCAGTGTAAATGTGTTTTTTTTAAACAAATGGATAAATTTACAATTAAAACATTGTGTAAAGCATCGCTTTTAAATGAAAATACCATTTTGCAAAACACATCGTTCCTCCAACTATTTCTGATTAAACGCAATTTAACGTCGCATGCGCAAACCGATGACCATCCGTGGCCTCTCGCAGAACTTCTGTGAGTAGACGCCTCGGGGTCAAGCAGCAAAAGTGGCACGGCCGTTGCCCTGTTCGTGAAGAAGACGCCACGCCTGGCTGGCATAGCGATCTCAAGGACACGTGTCACGAGTATGGACCCAGGAGAACACTGGCAGAGGCATTTGCTTGCTCGTGAATATTTAAGTAACTCGGCGAGTTGTCGACTGCTGTGCCATGACGTCAGAATGAAGTATCGGACGCGTTTGCCAATCACCTCCTTGCCAGGCTGGTTTCCTGCCGCCAATGTTCTTAAATATTTCATCTGCGATGATACCTATCCATTTACACACTGCTGGGAAAGCTGGGGGGGGGGGGGAACCAAGTAAAGTATATAATTTCAGATGACAAGCATATGGAATATTGTGCAGTGTGTATATATACCGTATAGACGCGAACATTCGTGCAAATGTCTGACTCTCAATGTCGCAAACTAATTGAAGAAGCTGTTGTCCAAGTGTAAATGTTTTTGTTGGCAATGGAAACATCGATCAAGTCGAATAAGACTACGGGGGAGAAAGGCCTGTGGGTGGTGAGCAGCGGCCAGCAAGAGCACTCCAATGACTCGCAACATTATTTCGAGAGACACCGTGTTCTCGGCTGCACACGTGCGCACGAGTTACCGGGGCCCGAGGGGGGCCGGCCTGCGGCTGCACGAGCGGCGGCGTGGCCGGCGCCGCGTCCCCGTGGCCGGGGACCTTGGAGGGCTTGGGGGGCGGTGGGGGCGGCGCCGCCGCCGAGCCCTGGGGTCGACGCGCGGTGGTCGGTGCCGGGTTCAAGGGTCTGAGAGCGAAGGAGGCGGCGGGGGCCCGCCGGGGCTTGAGTGCGGGCGACGGGGCGGACGGGGGAGGCCCGAGAGCGGAGAAAGCGACGGCCGTCGGCGGGGGAGCGGGCGCGGCGCGCTGGGGCTGCAGGGAAGGCGCCGGCGCGGCCCGCGCGGGTCGGAGGGCGCGCGCGGAGACGGCGGCGGGGAACCGCGGCGGGCAGAGGGGAGCGTGCGTGTGGGCACCCGCCTGCTGAGGCTGCGTCTGGAAGAGAGGTGGTGGCGGGGGAGGAGAAGGGACCCGCGGGGAGGAGGGGGGGACGAAAGGAAACGTTAATGAGCTAAGATCTAAAAATACACTGCCCGCTGCACAATGTCACGGCGGCGCCTGGGTTTTAACGCAACTTCACTTTTCGAGGCAGCCGTCGTGCGTCGAAAATCATCGCACCGCATTTTTTTACGGCAGGGCAGGAAATGTTTTACATTTAGGAAACTGAACGAGAGCCAAGTGTCTATTCGTGTCGAGTGTTTAATTTGGCGAGCCTCGTTTCACGCTCGAGCCATACGACTCGTTGCTCGATCACGTGGAAGAAGGTGCCCTGATGGGTTTTCAGGACAGCACTGGAGATGTTCCGGCTGCTCTGTCTTGTTTCTGCTCGGCCCGTAATGCGCGCATAGTTTTTTGCTCCGGGACCCAGACGCCAGCATTGACGAGGCAGGAAATTCCATCTGACCCCATTGGAAATCAGCCCCGCGAGGCACGGTGCCTTCACCGAGGCTGAGATGCTTGGTAATGGTATGAGGGGGAGAGCTAAGGAAAATGAGAGCTTCCAAGAAAAGACCTGGACAGCACCTCCTTTCAACCACAGAGTCCGCTGTACCTACGTACTTTCCGTTGTTGAGTTTGACGGGGCCTTCAGGAATACTTTTAAGCCAACGCCAAGGGTTAATTCACCTGTTGCTCATTTGTCAGGGTTTCTATTACGAAGTCAAATGAGATTAAAACAAGGCTCTCCGTGGACTATAGACTTTAAACTTTCGTGACTGCAGGAATTCATATTCTTGTTTCTTTCGGTAAAGTCGCGTAAATAGAAAACAAAAAATCTAAAAATTAAAATAAAAGGAAAAATAATAAGATACATTTTAAATTATAAAATAAAATTAAAATAATACATTGAAAGTAATAAAAGCACTAAATCAGAAGAAAATTACATAAAAGTAAAAATACAAAATACAATTATTCCAGCTGACTTTTATATGAACAAACTATAAACTAAAACAAGCATTAAGCAACTTAAGCAATTACTTTTTTCAAGCTTAATCCAAATAGCTTATCAAAGAAATATGTAATAAGAAGCTGACATTGAGAATTTCTCATCCGGTTTAAACACATTTACGTCTTCTAATTTAGTTTCTATATATTATGCATTGCACCAAATGTTTGTGCCATTTATTTCCAGTGTGAAAGGTTTAAAAAATGTGTTTTTTATTAGCAATCACATCCCAAATAATTGTTGGCATCGAGACATGATGAGGCGAAGTAACGCCATAAACATGGCAGACCTCTCTTTGTGACGTTGAAAAACAAACCCTGGAAGTGGCACACACACACAGACAATGAAAGTGTCTCTCCTACAGGCCTGGTAAATCATAGTGTTCCTTGACGCTACGTTCGCTTTGCGTTCGAATAGAATTACATTGGAAAATCCGCATAACCTTCAGAGCCAGGCCAAGGTTAAATTCATTTCAAACTTTCGTGAAAAATATATTTTCCATTTCTGTAAATTACAAAAAGTGCGTACCTCGATGAATATGAATGTAAACAAATAACTTTCGCATCTTTATCAATCCACTGCTAATGAAGGCCTCCCCATGTCGTGTTAGTTCTGGGGATTGCTTTCCCATACTGCACCATGCTGGTCTCTACAGGTTGCTGAAGTTGAAAGCACAGGGCTGGTTCCGATAAAACTCACCACTGATGTTAGCTCTGGCCTGGAACCAAAAGTCAGCTCAGCGGGTTCTAATAGCACTCGTTATTCAAATATGTATTCATGCCTGAATGACAGTGGTGTTGATATTGAGGTTTACTTTTGTTGCACTTTATAACAAGAATACATGACGATACAATCTGACGAGACATGCCAACATTATGAAGACTTCATGTTAGTAAGAGAGTGCTATATGTGTTACTAAAAAAAAAACATGAAGTCAATCGTTAAATTGAGATTCCAAAAACTTTACAAAACTCCTCGTGCATCCACGGCTGACACCGTCTGCTTCCCATAACACTGCGTGAAAACAAGGTTAAAATTTGGGTGAGAACCCACGGTTTAAACCTAGAATCTCCTGCAGAATGCCCGGGAATTGATTCTCTACAGCCACCGAGCAAGTCTCAAGGTTAATGTACGTTTAACACGTCCTTGCACAGCAAGACACACAGCCCCCTGGGTTCGACCTGAGTTGCATTACAAGTCACTCGCGATGCTTGTTATTTTATAGCCGTTAATGCATGAAACCCTGACCTCCCTTTTCCTGTGTCGCTCCGTTAATTGTCCAATATCTCGCGAAAACTTGGAAAGTGGATTTCCAGGAACACTGGCGTCGAAATAGGTGCGGCCGAGTGTTTATTTTAAAATATCAGCCCCGTGAAAACACGACCTGGAATGTGTGTGTTTTTCTTTTTCATTTAAATGGGTGCCCACATCCTGCCCGGAATTTGACTAAACGCACACCGTACCTCCAGTCCCAATGAACTCTTAAAGAGGCCACACTGCAGCCGACTCAGTGGTTTTTACACCGAGTTGATACAGTAGACAATGTGCCAGATAGCCAACGAGCATAGCCATTTGTCGGCAGTGAGCCGCCCCGTCTTGCCAAGGAAGAGTAGGGAGCAAGCCACGCAGACAGGTGGCGCTTGTGGCAGACTGACCTTACTTGCAATCACGTGACTGTGAGTTCAAATCCCAGTAGGAAGACTTGACTCGGGCCGTCACCCCTCTGGCATGATCAAATAAATAATCACTTTGTGGGAAGTCAGCGGTGGTCGTGAGACCAGCCTTCGCCATGGGAATGTGAACTTTTCCGCCAATGTCTCATGGCGGCTAACAGTGCCAGTTCAGTGCGAATTTGTAGCATGGCAGAGCAACGGTTCCACAAGCCATACTTCACTCATTGTTTTTTTCCGTAAAGCCACGTACGTAGAAATACCATAAAATTATATTTAAATAAAATATATCATTTATGGTATTTCTACATACGTGACTTTACCGAAAAAAACAATGAGTAATTTATGCAGTCACGAAAGCTTTAATTGTTTATTAAGCCATACTTCGCTGATGAAACTCATTGAAGTCGAAGCTATTCAAATATCCCTTGTTTAAACACATGGCACTAAGGAACATTCTTGTGGACGCATGCACATTTATTACTTGATCGATGGTCATTTCCGTTCCTAAAATGAACAACCCTTCATTAATATTTATTCATTGTGGAAGGATTTGCAGAAATGACACCGTTATTGATGTTAGAATTAATTATTTAGATACATTTCCTTACGATCTCATAAGGCTGCTCAGGCGGCGAGCTGTGCGCTCATGATCATAAGGTCAGGAGATCAAATCTGGGTCAAGGTCAACTCGTCCAATCATTTGTTTGCACCTCTGGCTGAGAGTTCAACATTAGTCGTCTGTCAGGGAATAGTCCCTGCCATATGAATTTAGATTATGCAGCATTGGCTCAAGACCGTGACGATATAAATCAGATCGTTAGTGTATCAGGTTTGGTGTGTTAATCATTTTACTCGGGACGTGTGCATGAGAGCGGAATGTAAACTGCATATCTGAGAGCGTGGTGTTTGTGGCAGAGTACGCAACTCAAAATAGAAAGGTTGTGAAATTTAAATCCCGTTTGGTGGTTAAGTCGGCACATCATCTCGCTGGGGCAGATACAATGCGTACCACCGTGTGGGAAGTGAAGAGCGGTTATGCTATACGCAGAATGATCCCCCCCTTCAAAAGCACGTGGATTTCTTTTGCCCACGATCTCGAGAGCCGTCACTGAATACGAGCACCTCCGGGCGCGTGTGAACAGACGTATCCGCTTTGACTATTTGACTTACTGGTTTGTACGCTGTGCATCGGCTAACTCATCCCCGACTTCCCCTTGCGGCGGCGCTCCAAGCATCACAATACCTCGGGCGCAGCCGGCGCTTTGCCCTGGATCGCAGGCACTGAGAAGAGTGGGTTGGAGAGCCCCGCGACGCTCCTGCTGTGCTTGGAGCTGCATCTGTCAACACACCCACGGCATCGCAGCAGCAGCAGCATTCACGCCTTGCACCAAACAAGGTCCTGGGTTCGATCCTCGACTTTCTGCGTGGAGTGTCTACGTTCTCCCCCCCCCCCTGTTCGTGATGGGTCTCCTCTGGGTTCTACAGTTTCCTCCCAAAGCTAAAAACAAAAAACACACAATGTAACCACATCCCAATGCAAATTATGTATGTAGATGATGTGTATATGTATATTATGTGTGTATGTATATGATGTATGTATATGATGTGTGTATATGATGTATGTATATATATGATGTGTGTATATGATGTATGTATGTATATGATGTATGTATATGATGTGTGTATGTATATGATGTGTGTATGTATATGATGTGTGTATATGATGTGTGTATGTATAAGATGTATGTATGTATATGATGTATGTATATGATGTATGTATATGATGTGTGTATGTATATGATGTGTGTATGTATATGATGTGTGTATGTATATGATGTGTGTATGTATATGATCTATATATATGATGTGTGTATGTATATGATGTGTGCATGTATATGATGCAGGTATGTATATGATGTGTGTATGTTAATGATGTGTGTATGTATATGATGTGTGTATGTATATGATGTGTGCATGTATATGATGCAGGTATGTATATGGTGCGTGTATGTTGATGATGTGTGTATGTATATGATGTGTGTATGTATATGATGTGTGTATGTATATGATGTGTATATGATGTATGTATATGATGTATGTATGTATATGATGTGTGTATGTATATGATGAAGGTATGTATATGGTGCGTGTATGTTGATGATGTGTGTATGTATATGATGTGTGTATGTATATGATGTATGTATGTATATGATGTGTGTATGTATATGATGTATGTATGTATATGATGTGTGTATGTATATGATGTGTATATGATGTGTATATGTATATGATGTATGTATATGATGTGTGTATGTATATGATGTGTGTATGTATATGATGTGTGTATGTATATGATGTATGTGTGTATATGATGTGTGTATGTATATGATGTGTGTATGTATATGATGTGTATATGATGTGTGTATGTATATGATGTGTGTATGTATATGATGTGTGTATGTATATGATGTATGTATGTGTATGATGTGTGTATGTATATGATGTGTGTATGTGTACTTATTTATTTGTGCTTATTTATTTTTCCGGGCGTGGTGCTGGTCACCAACCCCCTCGTGTGCCCGTGCCAGCCTTCATAGGTGCTACTCGCGAACAGCACTTGCCCCAACAGCCTGTTGAGGCTATACGGGGTATTTATATTTGTCTTTGTGTTTATTTATGCAACACAAAGTGCCATTATCCATAAGCAGCAGCCGTATTCCATCAGTATGTTGTGCTAAAAGCACAGAAGCGTAGATTGAATTTCTTGCTTTACACAACACCAAAGATGAATGCTGGCTCTTAGAATGTAGAATGTGGCCTGGACCTCCTGTAAGTGATCTCAGTCTTAAACGGTACAATACGTACTGCATGAACAACAGCAAATAGAAGATAAAGCTAGCCGGGCAGTGTGTTAGCTATGCTAAACCTGATTTCCCATGTTCCCGATGGTAGATGCTCGCTAGCAATAATTATCTTCTCAATCTACATGGCTAATTTTGGAACCGCTGTGTGTGTACGGTGATGTTAGTGTATACTGTGTATATTGTATATATTGTGTATATTGTATATGTTGTGTATGTTGTGTATATTGTGTATAATGTGTGCATTGTGCGCATTGTGTATATTGTATATGTTGTGTATATTGTATACAGTGTGTATATTGTGTACATTGTTTATATTGTGTATGCTGTGTTTATTGTGCATATTGTGCATATTGTGTATATTGTGCATGTTGTGTATAGTGTGTATATTGGGTACATTGTGTATATTTTCGTATATGGTGTATGTTGTGTATATTGTGTATATGCGTGAGTGTGGGTGGTGGGGGGGGGTGAGCAGCACCACTGTGTTGCAATCCTGGTGACCTGGGTGTGATTCTCAGCCATAAGCATCAGTGGCGAGGGAGATATCTGAACTAGGTCTGGGCAACCCCTAGGTCAACGCAGCCAGAAATGAGTTCCATGTGCAGAGTGCGAACGTCAGCATTGGGGAAACAAAGGCCGCCTCAACACCACCACCAACTACTATGCAGTGCCAGCCTCAACAATCGCTCACAGACGGCGCTTACCACATTGTTCTTTGCGGTTAAATGGGGACGTTTATCTTCCAGTGCATGGACAAATGTTTACGTGTGTACCTGGTTTCCTGTTGTGTACCATGTATGAAGGAGTTTCTTTTTGATGCGCAAACCCATGCAACGCGGTGATATATAGCTGCACTGACCTAAGGTTCCATTTCCTCTAATTAGGAAAGAAATGTGTTTCTGTTGGCAAGCAATTGGAAACCAGAACCCAACAAGGGCAAGCCACAGTTCACTCGGCCTGCAGATAAACGGTTGCCCGGAAAATGGCCGGGTGGCTTAGAGGGCTAATGCCCCCCGTCAAGGCGCTGAGCCAGCAACCGCTAATAACTTTGGTTTGAATCCAGGTAATCAATGGGGAGTAGTCCAGGTTCTCAAGTAGAGCTGAGTTCATGATGTCAGCCCGGTCATTAAAAAAATAGCATCCTTAACAAATATAAAATTATTTTTTGGTATTAAGTTGACCAAGCCCAGCTCTAAGTGCTTATGCAGCACATGGGCTGCAGTGAATCAAGTAATCATATTCCGAGCTGTAGAACACAGCCTATAGATTGTGGAAAGATATCCCGTTAAAGGATGCCTGCCCAAGGCTGGCGATGTTACTTCTGGGTCATCCCCAAAGCTCCTATGTGGTTATGCTGTTCTGCTCGCACTGATGAGGACATGCAAAATAATTGTTGAAAAACCCCCCCAAAATTACTTCCATTAACAGAGGTTAAACTTGCATGCATTCTACACTCCAGTGATGTGTAGAATGTTCTGTGCATGTACAGATGTGAAGTATTTAGAGCAATGGTGTAGCGGTTAGCAACCTATGCTACAATTATAGAGACCCTGGTTCAGATGCTGGCCATGCACATCCATGTGCATGTGACTAGGCCCAGACTTCTCCTACATATATTCATATTGCTATAAATGCCCCGCGTGGTGTGCTCAAAAACAGCAATGTGGAGACAAAGCGAGTCAACCGTGCATTACGCCAACCACACCACCCTCTCGTCTGCAGTAACACCACTCACGAGTAGCACTTTGCCCTGATGATCTACAAGGAAACACGTGGGGGGTCTTTGTCATTGTATTTGTATTAATGAAGACCAGCTGGTATCACTGGCCATGGCCAATACCCAACTCCCATGATCACCGTTCGTGCGCCGCTTTCCTGCGCCTCCGGCAGTGGCAGACGGCAGCGACCAGCGCCAACATTCCAGCTGCTCCCAGGGCCAGCGCTAGCGCCAGAACCACTGCACACGCAGTCGCAGACAAGCAGCAGTGGAGAATTAAAACCTGCGGTGGCCACAGGGATCAGGGAACTGAGAATGCTCACGTCAGAGAACAGAGTCGACAGCACCGAGATCCTGGTGTTTGTGCCTGGGGTAGCCTCCTAAGTGGATGGTCGCAGCTCGATTCCCGCGTGCACCGTACGTAGCCAACCGGTTAGCACGGTTGGCTATATACGGTGTGAAAGAAGCTCAACATACATATATAAAAAGTAGATTGAGGCACTATATTGGTGTTAATTCGTCATGAAAATTCTTAAGCCACCGGAGAGCCACTTTATTGGTCACTATTTGATGCACACCTTGGCCACGTACAAATAATAATGTAACAATCTTGTCGGGTGGTAGAGGCTCAAATACAAGAGTTTTGACATAAAACTACCACGTGGCCTAACTCAGTGATTGTGCTCCGGCGAGGCTGGCTTTTGCGATCGTAACGAACACTTTCATTGTTGGCTCAGGGCTTCCGAGAGTGGTGAGCACCACCCCGCGCTCGCCCGGGCACGGTTACATTTTGAGTTTGACTTTTGAGCAATATGAAAAAATGGCCCAAATGTAACAGTCAAAGTGCCCATCTCACACACGTTGCAGTGACACAACAACGGAGCACAGCTGAGCGGAGGGCATGCGAGCGCCGGCACCTGTGCGCATGTGTGGGGTCAGGCTGCTGCAGAAAGGGGGCGCCCAACCATAGTCGCAGTGGCACTCCCTCTTGTTGTTGCACGCCTACACACACGCGCGCAACACATCAGCAGTAATAAACAAAACCCCCTACAGCCAAACATTCGTTTGTGACAAGTGCTGTCAGCAAGCTCCTATTAAGGCTGGCACGGCGCACGGTGAGACCAGCACCTATTACCGGCCACCTTTGTCTCCCTAGTGCTGAAGAAGACAGATTGCACCAGGTACTTTTTCCTGTAGTATGGTAGGATTTTACCAAAACTGTGTGTAAATGTATTATTATAGTAGGTCATGTTATCTGCATTCTGAGTGTAGTTGTTAATGTTATAATTAGCTTTTATTGTGTTTCGTTGAGAATGTATTCTAACTTGGGAGTGTCGTTTTTTTGTACAGCACTTCCAGATTTCTTTACGAAAGGCAATTTACAAAATGAGGATTGTTATTACTTATTTAAGGCTGGACGGTGGAAAGTCCACATTTCTATGGCCGTGGCAGGTCACTCTTTCGCTTCTGCTGCCCCTCTCTCATTTGGAATTCCCCAGCAGAAGGAGCTACAGATCCAAGCGGCGTGTGTGTGCTTTCAGCAGAGGGTGGAGAACGCAGGCACGCACCCCGTGTCCGCTGCACATTGCGGAGCAGTTGTGGGCGCCCAGGAGAGACGCGTCCTGGCAGCGGTTCTGGTAGCAAACCTGTGAGGAGCAGGCCAGGAGGAGGTTTCAGGGAGATTGGGGGAGCAGGGGTTGGGGAGTTTGAGAGGAGAGGCGGAGATAGGTGGGAAATTAGTGTATCGTGAGAGAGGGAAGTCTCGGCGAAGACCATCGCGAGCGTTGGAATATTGGAACGGGCACGTCGCTGAGTGGGTGGTCTACAAGTCGGAGCGTCGCGAGGCTTCAGCGAGCGAGGCTAGGCCGGCGCTCATCTCTGTTGACGGCACTGAGCCAGCAGTGGAAATCGCACATTCCTCAAGAGAGTGAGGGCGCGGGGCAATGTCTCCACCGGACAACAGCTCTTGACTTCTGGCAAAGTGGAATTATTTTTGCCTGGCTCAGGAGGAATGCTGCGTTGTTGACCCTCGTCTGGTATTTGAGCTTCACGGCCTTCTGAATCCAAGGCAACCGCGTCGCAATTTCATCCACGTTACTTCGGACCAATCGGTACAATATCGCCATCGTTGTCAAGCGCGATTTTCACTTGTTTCCCAGGGGCCGGCCTATGGTCGCGCGGCTCCCCTCGTTTACTGCACGGCCTGAGGGCAACAACAATAAACCACGTGAGAGCACTCTCTCCAGACGAATGGGAAATTCAAGATGGATGGAAAAGAACGATGACATCTGGGCAAACAAAAGGTTGTGCTCCGCGTTGCGTTTTCGGGTCGTGCAGCGCGTTTGTTAGGCACGATGTCCGACGTTTTGCTCCATGCGCTTGCACGGAGCAAAACGACCTGGACAATCGGAGAGTTCTGTGCGACACGACTGTGAAAACCTGCGCAGATCTGTGATCCAAAAAGCCGCCGACAACAGAAACAAACCGCGTGAGATGAATTGCGGAAAGCATAACAATAGCATCACCGCTGAGATTGTGGATCGAATGCAAGGCTGCGAGTCTTTGCCACCACTCCCTCTTTTCCGGCCTCCCACAATACTCGGCGTCGTTTCTGTCCTGTCCCTCGGGAAACGGCGCTTCGCAGAATGTCTCTCGATCGGCTCGTCGTGCACGGCTGCCGACCGTCGCTTCTCCGTGATTGCTGCTACCATGTGGAACTCCATTCCCGCTTTAGATACATAGTCGTCTAATTAATTACTGACTACTTTCAAAAAGCGCACCTGTACAAGCTAGCTTTCAACCGATGCCGAGCTGGTATCGCCTCCGAGTCGTACTCGAACTCTGCCCTTCGTTCGAGAAATTTTGGGCGTTAAAAGTAATTATTATTCCACGCACCGCTCTGTGGCAGCAACTTCCTCAAGATTGTGACTTTTTTGTGATGTCATCTCGTTATGTAAAGGACGCCGGAATTCTGGTAAAGTTTTTGCTCATGAAGGAAGATATTGTGCACTTATCAATGCCACCCAGCTGGACATGCCTTTACACCAACAGTAAACGCATGTCTCTCTCTCTTGCAGTTAAATCGTTCGGCATGATAAATATGGAAGGATTAGCTTCAGAGCAAGACATGTTCTCCTCTTGCGGGGGCAAACAATAGAATGTGAGCAGCATTGCTCACACTCGGTGTGGAACTGGCGTGTAGCGAGCGGCGATGCATGTGTATGCGTGTTGAACTTTTGCACCTTGCGTAGTCAACCACGCTCATCGGAGGTGCGGGGGAAGGTCAACAAACTAAACACAGCAATGCTGCCGTTCACACGGACGGCTTCCGTCGCTCGGTGCTGTGTTGCGCCGGGTGCGGCCCACTCGCCTTGCCGTCGCCGCAGCGCGTGCCAGGCAGCACGAGGCCGGGGTCCGAAGCGGCGTCGTCTCCGTCGCTGGTGCCGGCCACCTTGCAGCGCACGGTCCCGAACGTGAGCGTGTACGTCACGCCCGTCACCGGGTGCTTGTTGCCCCCGACGCAGTGCGTCTGCCCGCAGAGCACGTCCCTGGCGGTCACACGGCAAGGTCAACACGCGGCGCCTTCGTCAAACGCGACGAGGCAAGGGTCTCGACGTCAAAGCGGTCGCCTCGCTCAGACGGGCGTGGGGGGTGGGGGCGGTGCTCGCTTTTCGTTGGCGGCACCGAGGCGGCGGTGAGAGTTCCGCGTTGTGAACCCTTTCCCGATCCGATGACGTACGTGTACTTCATTGGAACGGAATCGGAAGAAAAAAGAAACTAACTTTATCTTTACTGAGGCTTCCGCAAGGCCATGCGGGAGGACGTGTGACCACAGTTTGGCGCCAGCTATGGTAGAGATTGGTGGTCTCGCTACGGTTCTCCACGGTAAGTACAATGTCTTTAACAACAGCAGCGCTACTACGCCTCTCGAAATAAAATTAACGCTGAGCTGCTTGCAACTCGCAGGCGTCTCGTAACGGCAAAAGGTTCATGCGGGGCCAAGTCGCTCCAGAGGAGAAACTACTCATTGACTATCCTGCTGAGTGAATCTCAGTCAATCGATTCTGGAAGGACGATGGGCTACTTTGGGATTTGAACTCACGACCTTCCCATTGCCACCGTGCCCATCTGATTGAATGCATGCCAACATGCAAACATTCAGGCTTCTGAGCATTGTGGAAAAGCAAGGCAGCTGTGCATGCCAGCTCAGGAGTTTACAACCAAACTCTTTAAACTCGACAGTTTGCAATGACTCCTTAGGCAGGCTACGGTGGTCCACAGAACTTGGAAATATTCTGCATGATCTTGTTCTCGCACACAGATGTTGTGCTGGAAACCTCCTGTACTCTTGTGAATAATGGCACAAGGTCTTTGTTTTCTGCTTTACAGCAGACAGCACAAACGAGCTTGGTACTTAAATCAAAGCTATAAGCTAAACTGCTTGATCCTTGGTTATAATTCGAGTTTCAGGTGCCCATGATGAAACCCATGTCCCCTAGTGTACGGAGTGATGGTCTTGGCTTGATCACCAATTACGTCATAATAAAACCATAGCATTCCATTGGATGTGTTATTTAATTTGTCTAATTCAACTCCAAAAGACAGCTGTGACATCACCTTTTGGGACCAATCGCCGACACGATAAGTACACCGCTCACAGTCAATGCTCCGGATACAATTTCTTTCGTCCCGTGACACGATGCCAATAGCACACTTGTAATGATAACTGAAAATGTCTAAAGTATTCACCCCAATAGCAAAGCCGGCACACGATCGCAACATTACTGGGCCCAGCCATGCGACCGTTGACTGTGCATTGGCAAAGTGGCTCCGGTGGTGAGCGTGCCGTGGACGGGCCGCCGCCACGCCGCCTACACGAGCTGTCACCCGGAGGGGCCTCGGATTATCAAGGAGAGTGAAGGACCTCACCCTGGGTCGCAGGTCACAAAGCCGTGCTCTGTGCGCCCACAGTTCCCGAACTTGTCCTGCCGCTGGTTTCCCAGGAAGTAGCAGACGTCGGGCGCCCGCGAGGCTCCTGCTTGGCCGCATCACAAGGCAACAAAGACAAAGATCCCCCGTGTAGCCTCAACGGAGCGTTGGGGCAAGTGCTGTTAGCGAGCACCCGGCCGCCTTTGTTTCTCCAGTGCTGAAGTTTACACATCGCACCAGGTATTAATTTCAGGCTGAGTCTACCTAGGGGAGGTCGAGGATCCACTGGGATATTTGTCACCGATATTAGCTGCGAGTGAGAGTCGAATTCGGGTCCCCAGATTCAAAGTGCAGCGCGCTAAGCACTACACTCCCACTCTCCACACCGATACATACACAAGCAAAATATGACGCACTGCAGATTCTAGGTGGCTGGGAAACCGGATTATCAGAGACCACCAGTCGCCCTCGCGCCGCTATGAATATTGCTACAATGACCACGCAGAGATTTTAGAGTAACGGAAAATTCCGTTCTCCTCCATGTATCTTTTTTCCATCACGGTGCCTGAGTGCAGGCCCAAAGAGCCAAAGCATCAAACGACCAGCAACAAACAGCGCTGTTAAAGTCGTAATAGATAAGAGCGAATACACTTCTTGAAGTGAGCAAGGTTATAAGAACCTGGGAAAAGAGACGATGAGAGGGAACTCCAAAGTTGAGCAGTGTGAGAAAAGAGTCCAACATAAATTCGTGTTTTGACCTCTGGTGGTTGAACAGGATGTGAATAAGAGGAAACTTTGAGTCTGATCGACCGAGTCCTCAACACGAGTGAAGATCACGACTACAGTTGCCATGGTACCAGCGATAGAACAACAATATGAGACTCAGAATTATTTACTCATACTGTAGGAATCCGATGAGCTGTAAAGCTCTTTGTCCACCGATGTCCAGTAGGGGCACGGGGTCAGAACGTTACAACAACGATAAAGAGGTGACTGACCGCCCGGATAGCGAGTGACTAGAGTGACCATCAAGCAACACGCTCACGTGTGTGCGTGCGCACGTGCATGCGCGCGTGTGTGCGTGCGCACGTGCGTGCGCGCGTGTGTGCGCGCACGTGAATGCGCGCGTGTGTGCGCGCACGTGTGTGCGTGCGTGTGGGCGCACGCAAGCACCTTTGCCCCACAGGCTGGCGCACTGCGCATCCAGGGTGGGGCACAGGCCGCCGTAGCAGTAGGCGGCCCCGCCACGGCACGGGTGCCCGTCCAGCAGGTAGAGGTTGTCGGGGCAGCGGGCAGAGCGGCCGTCGCACAGCTCGGGCAGGTCGCACTCGTGCATACGCTCGCGGCACCGCACGCCCGCGGCCGCTATCTGCGCAACGCACAGCGGCACACGCTCAGAGACGCGGCCCGCCCACGCAGTGCGCGCGCACCCTGGGGGCGCGGTGCGCGAGCCGGCGTGGACCCCACGAAGGGGGTAGGTGGCGTGGCCAGAACTAGCGCGGACATTTACGCGTGCAAACCAGGTACTCGTTTGAGGCTGAGTTGACCTAAGGGATGCCCAGGACCGGTCAGATGCCACTTGACGCTGAACCCAAGCACACATGCGCACAAGAACATGATGCTGATGTATTTACATACTCGCACACTTGGATGGACATAGTTTTTACTTTGTGTTAATTTTCTTTATCAGGTCACTGTGACGGGTGGTAACGCACGCCTACGACACGCTGCAAAAAAATCATAGTAGCAGTATTGTTATGAGACCACTACTTTGGTGGGAAGTAACACATGATCATCCTGGAGAGACTGACCTCTGCCATAGGAATATGGAATTTCGAGCATTAACTCAGGGCTGGAAATGGGTGAGCACCGACCCACACTTGCGTGGGCAGAAATACAAAGGCGGCCAGGCGTGGTGCTGGCCACCCACCCCCTCGTGTGCCGTGCCGGCCTTCATAGGCGCTCACTAACAGCACTTGCCCCAACAGTCTGTTACAGGCTACACGGGGGATTTTTGTTTTTGTGTCGACGTGTGTGTCCACGTGTGTGTGTGTCCACGTGTAACCATAACTATGAGCATGTGTGTTTTTGTACAGTCGAGTCCTCTTGTGACTAAATCTGTGATGGTTTAAACATCGCACGTAAGGCGATGTTTAAACCACGTGCACCTGCATAATAATATTATAATACGTAGAGCATCCTGATATTCCAATTTCTTTGCATATACTGATGTGGCACAGGAATCCCCTTAGTAAGATCGAGGTTTGCTTTGAGGGCTGGTTTTCCAGCATTTTAATAAACGACATTGTGGGCTATTACCACTACAAAGGTGTCATCGCTAAAACTACACGAACTCTCCCCCTGTAAGCCCTCTTCATGTCTAGAAGACCTTGACGTGCAGCTCTTGTTGCCACCACACGACAGCGTGGAACCACGACAACCCAGGCAGGCTCTGCGCCTCTCGCGAGGGTGGCCCAGCCCTGCACATTCTGTTCCTTGAAGAGCCGAGGGGCTTTGTCTGCGCCAGGCCAAGTCAGCACATGGGAAGGAACGGCGGGTGGGACGCTGCCACGAAGATGATTCCCTCGAGGGCTGAGCGCAGCAATCGGGAAGCAGCCCCCAAGTTCCCCTGCCCCTCACCACCACCGCCGAAAGGGGACGGCCGCTTCCCCTGCCGCCTTGCCGTGCCGCGACTTGGCAGCGCCACACTGGACTCTGTGTTAATTTAAATTCAATAATGATGGAATCCTGCAGACATTTCTGGGGAGTCGTTGTTAACGTTTTTTTTTTCTTTTGCCCGCTAGCAGCAACAAAAACGGGCATTCTGCTCGCGGCTTTGCTAAATATTTGCACACATGCCACGTGCGCGGAACGGCCGCGTGGGGAAGCGGCCGCAGCATTTGTGGGCACCCCCTTGATGTGCGGGGAAAGGGGGGGGTGGTCGTCACAACTGGGGGGCGACCCCCCCCCCCCAGGGGAGCCGGACAAATTGTGCCCCCGACCGAGGTCCCATCACGCGCACGCAGCAAGGCACACGCGTGCGTGCGCACGCCGTGCATATACAGCATTCGTGCATGCAGCATAACACAAGGGGGTGCACAGCTGTGCATGCATGTAGGCCCTTTCTTTCAGGCTTTTAACGCCGTGTCGTGCGGACGTATGGGAAAGTCTCGGTAACAGCGGCTCACCGAAGAAAGCCAGGTGACATTCGACTGAATGGCGTGTATGAGTGTTGGCGCGTGTCACTGTGAGCTCGTGTGTGTGTTGGCCGCATGGTGTGTTACTGTGTGTGTGTTGGTCGACTCAAACGAGTACCTGGTGCGTTGTGTACCTGGTGCGTTGTGTACCTGGTGCGTTGTGTAAACATCGCCACTGGGGACACAAAGGTTGCCGGGCGTGGTGCTGGCCACCCACCCCATCGTGTGCTGTGTAGGTCTTCAGACGTGCTGCTCGCTAACCGCACTTGCCCCAAAAGTCTGTTAAGGCTATACAGGGGATCTTTGTCTTTGCTGACTGCATGGTGTGCATGAGTGGTGACGCGCATGGTCACAGGCAAGGATCGCTGACATCGATGAGAGGAGTAAAGCGGCAGACGTAAAGATTGATGAGAGTTCACCCGTCGATAGACAATCACATGCAGTGTGCATAACATCAGCATAACTATGGGAAACACTTGTAAAATATGTACACCGTTGGAGCAAGGGCTGTTCGTGAACCACATGAAGGGATAGCTGGACCGCTCGCCGTGTGTAATTTATTGTCTTTCCCCCGCACATCCGATTATCACGGTTGGCTACGTACGGTGCAAACAAAGTTCAACATACACACAATGCTGGGTCAGAAGAAGCACACACAGCCACCTTTGCTGAGGTTCAAACACCAACCCAGGTACTGGTATAGTGATTATAGACTGGCTCGACACATGCATGGTCCAGGCTAAGTTTGGATAACGATTGCTCCTTGCGTTGTGCGGGATTTGGAATGAAACTTAGGTTACCGGTTTCAGTGCATAATGCTCGCAGCCTCTGTGCCATCACTCTAAAAAAACACCAACAACAAGACAAATATTGACTGTTTGGCCTCACAGCTGTGAAGAGGTAAAAGTATTGTTAGCGAGCGCCTTCCAGCAGGAGCGGAGCCAGGATTTTCAGCCCGGGGTGACACTCAACAAATTTTAATTTCAAGAATGATCGAATGAGAAATCGGCTATACCCCACGCCATCGGCTGGCGACACACTCTGACAATGCAGTTGCACGGAGTCCGCCAGACCACTTACACGCAGAATGTTTCAGATTTTCGATTTTTTTCTGGGGTGACAATTGTCCACCCTGTCACCCCCCTGGCTCCGCCCGGCATTCCAGCATAACGGGGCAAATGACGCACAAAGAGGCAGTGCGAGGCAGCAGCAGCAGAGCGCGACGGAGAGTCAATGGGCAGTAAGCGACAACGACTGCAGCATGGAGGGCACAAACCAGGGATGACAAACGAGGCAAGCGGCACAGGCCGAGACACTAAGACGGGGATGGTGCGAATGAGCCAGGAACCGAAGCGTTCATTAAAGAGACCACGCAAAAGGAGACACTGCTGGACAGGTAACACGCACAAAAAAAACATTCTCATGATGTCACGAATCGTGAATCCAAACCGTGACGATTCGTGGGTGAGGGTCAGAGAAGATACATCGTTGAAAGCTTACCGGGGTACTCATTTAAGGCCGAGATGACTTAGGGGCAGTTTAGGAAACGTTTTTATATCACTTGCTGCCGAGGTCATAACGTGGTTGGGAATCAAAACGAGGTTATGCGGATCGGAGGGCAGCTCGTGACTACACCACAGCGCCTACATCACCTCCGCACGCACACACACACGCACATTCACACACACACGCACATTCACACACGCACATTCACACACACGCACATTCACACACACACGCACATTCACACACGCCCATTCACACACACACGCACATTCGCACACACACGCACATTCACACACACACGCACATTCACACACACACGCACATTCACACACACGCACATTCACACACACACGCACATTCACACACACGCACATTCACACACACATTTACATTCACACACACATTCACACACACACACGCACAACGGCTTCGCACAGTCTCTCTCACACGCAACAGGCTCCCGCTGCGGGTAGTGGGAAGGTTACTGCACGCTCCCCGGGGTCACACCATCTGCTAAACTAATTGCAATAAGTGGCGTATCCTTCACTAACATCAGACTCGCGCTTTTCAATCAATGCCACAAAGCCCGGCAAGCACCACGTGACTCAATGGGCCGCGTTCACTGTGGTGTGCATTCACCAAAGCACGACAAAACAAAGTGCCCGGGATTCCGCAGACCGCAATGCACAAAAGTGAACCGCGTAGCTGTGTGTGTGTGTGCCTCCTGTTTCTGACGTTCCGCTGGTAGGAATCTGCGAATATGAGGGGGGGGGGGGGGAGGTCTGAGGGAGCCTTCCGATAGACGGAACGTATTGAATGTACGTAGAGCATTTGGTCGCTGCAGACCTCTACCAGATGCCCGTTGATGCCATCGGAGCGGCTCCTGCTGCAAACCCGCGACCCAACACGCGAGCTCAGAACGCGCCCGCCCACTTGACATGAACGCGTGAAGCTACAGCCGTGTTCATAATGTTTGATTTTTGTTTTAAATATACACACACACACGTGTGTTCGTTTGTCGGCAATATATTAAAGGAACGTATTTCGTATACATCTTAAATCATGGGCAATATATGAAAGAACATATTTAGCATGCTGTCCACAATTGTCCGCAATCAAATGAATCTTACATTTACACCGATGGCACAATTTGATTGAATGGATGGGGGTTTTCTTTTCGCTTGTCGGCTCTTTCCACCGGTTGTGCCCTTGGAGTTTCGTGTGCTTTTGATTATTTTAGTAAAACCCAAAAATATTTCTTTGGAAAAAAGATGTGCGAGTTGCCCCTGTAAGTCTTCCCATCGCCAGCACCTGACCAGAAGGGCATCTGTAGGGTTCCGCTGATGCTGCGGGCAGGAGCGCGCGGTGGCGTGCGTGCGTGCGACTGAGCGAGCGAGCGAGCGAGAGATGGAGCGAACATGCGAGGGGGGGGGGGGGGGCAGCTCACCTGGCAGTGCGAGCAGCACGATCCGTGAGCACACCGCGCCCCGCTCACCAGCTGACACGTCGTGGCGTTACAGCACGGGTTGTCGCACTCCTGCACGCACGCGCGCACACACGCACGGACATACGCATCCACATACACACACGCACACACAAAGACGGCAAAACGCTCAATAAAACATGAGCACACGCCCATGCGCCACTGCTCGTATGCAATGTGCATCTGTGGCCATAAGTACAATGCAGCCGTGGGGAGTGGAAATGCAGCAGTTAGCACGCTGCGCTACGAACCCGGCGACCCCGATTCGATTCCCGCTCGCGACCAATAACTGGTCCTTGACATTGTGCGATGCGTAAACATCACCACTGGGGAGATGACGGCAACAGGGCGTGGTGGTGACCACCCACCCGTTCCGGGTGCCATGCCGGCTTTCATCGGTGCTACTCACTAAACGCACTTGCGTTTTTTGAGGCTACCCGGGGATCTTTGTCTTTTTTGTATGCATGTGTGGGAGCGGTTTTGCAGTGGTGAACACCGAAACGTGTTGGCGTGATTGTGCAACGCAAGTCTGGTGTCTGGACTTGGTTCTTGCTTCCTATAGCTTCACTCAGCCTAAAATAATGACCTGGTGTGATATAGTGCGATCAACATCGGTGCTGGTGAGACAAAGGAGGCCAAGCATCGTACCAGCCCACACCACCTCCTTGGGGTACCGTGCAGGCATTAAGAGTGTCGCTTGTTTCTGCTCGTGGTGGAAGATCGTTTTTGGTGGGGGCATGTTACATTCGCTTTCAAAATACACACTGCAATCTAAACGTAATCGCATTTTCATTTCACAAACCATTTAATCACATTCGCATTCCACCCTTTGCAACTTAAGCCCATTCGAAGGAATTTCTCCAATGGAGCTGCAAAAGCCAACATCGCTGGCGATTGGAGGATCGTAACGTAATGTTGGCTGGCAGCGCTCCCTCGTTACGAGGCGCTCGCGAAGAGCAGGCGCTTCCAGAAGTCTACGTGGGTAAACGGGGGGTGGTGAAGGGGGGGGGGGGGAGTCTATGTCCTCCTTTTGTTTGTGTGAGAATAGAGAATGCGTTCGCTGAGGCCTGAGTGCGCAGTGAACTCTACCGTTGCAGGCGTAGCGCCAAGGCGGGCACGTCCTGCCTCTGCAGACGCATCGATCTCGCCCACTTTGTCACTCGGCCCATCGTTCCATAAAGCAGCACAACTTTCTTACATCCTTTATTTCTCAAGCTCCTCCGACCGCTCATTTGTCACGAAGCCCTCTCGCCCGTAACTTCATTAACTCCAAATGGGTGGAAAAAAATAATCAAATAATGAAACGGGAAGAAAAAAAACCACGCAATCTAAAATAACCAGACGGTGCGATCCATAGCGTCTGACAGCGGCTTTTAGCGGAATGAGATTTCAGGCGCTGCTGCCGCTCGTGGTCGTGACGGATTGGGCGCCCGCCCCTAGCAGGAGGTGGCGGCGGGGTTGGCATCGTGAGCTCATGTCTCGATCGCTCTCGCGCACCACGGATGCCGCACTGCCACACGGAGGGCACCGTGAACTCGGCCGATGAAGGCTCAGCATGTTGACGACTGACGATGATGAACGGCGTCCACGGGTTACGGCCGCGCATATGGAAGCGTATACACGTATGCATGCTTGTGTAATATTGGTGCAAGTTAGCAAGCACATATTAAGACGAGTGAACAGATAGGACGGTTGGCTACGTACGGTGCGAAAGAAGTTCAACATACGTAGATACAAAGGTGTTGTCAACATCATGCCCCGCCGACCCAATTTCCTTAACGCTAATGCTGTCCACCCTGCACCAAATACTTATTTTAGAGTTAAACTAGGGGAGGTCCAGGCCAAGTTTAGATTCTCATCATCATGGCAAAAAATGTAACTGTGATGGGCAGACCACTCCAAAGACAAAGATCCCCCTTGCAGCCTACACAGGCTGTTGGAGCAAGTGCTGTTAGCGAGCACCTATGAAGGTGAGCACGGCGCACGAGAGGGTGTTGTGGCCAGCACCACGCCCGGCCACCCTCGTCTCCGCAGTGCTGACCAGGGAGATCGAACCGTGGACCTGCCGATTGCAAGTCGTTTGCATCCCCCAACACACAGATTAACGGGGGCGTAACACTTTTAGTGAGTTTCCATAAATACATTGAAAAAAAAAATCCATTACCAAGATTAATACTGACAAGAAACAAACGTACTGGAGGGCAGTGGGTGGTGGCGGTCCCAGCAACGGCTGTAACTCAGGTGGCCTCACCTTGCACAGCGAGACACCCTTCAACGTGCAGAGTGAACAGCGCGGCACTCCCATTAACAAAGTTGTCTGGCGCCGGCGATGAACTGCATTGGTTGTGCCCGCAGGGAGGTCGTGCACGCGGTGCCACGGCGCGATATACGGCCCGTGGCCAGCGGAGAGCGGCGCGGATGAAATATCGAAGGTCGTTCATCACGGTATCGGCTTTCAGCACGCCACCGATGATTAAGGGCAAGAGAACGGCCGCGATTTCGAAGATGACGGTCCGTTGGGGATTGACACTGACGGCGATCGTGGTTATGGCGACGGTAATGGAAGCCGAGGAGATGGACAGAGGCGTTTGATTTAAACTGGGAGAGCCCGGTGAGCTCTGAAGCAGCTCGGTGTTGTAGGTGTCAAGCCCAAGCTGGGGTCGGCAATGTAGATAAGTTACAGAGGCAGTGACGTGGCTAGATACATCAGACAATCACACGCAAACGCGAACAAAACAGAGTATAGAAAAACAAGTAACCGCAATAGTAACAAAAAATTATACGAAGGATAGATTGCATTTGCAAATTCCCAGCTGTCAAATCGTAGTTACAAAAAATTGTTAAATTTCGATTTAAAGCTTTCGTGACTGCAAGGAATCATCTTCTTTGGTTCTTTCGGTAAAGTCACGTAGAATGAGAATAAAATAATAAATTGATAAAATAAAATAACAATGATATTCTCAATTTATTATTTTATTCTCATTCTACGTGACTTTACCGAAAGAACCAAAGAAGAAAAAATTGTTACATATCAAAATTGCAGGTCACAGTTGCAAATGTGGTTATAGTTGAGTTTAAGACATTTTCTTGATGAGATAATGAAGACTGGCGATGATGATGATTTTATAGATGATAATGATAGTTGTAGACACGATGGTGATGACAATGATGATGGCTATGCCTGTGCCTTTGAAGATAAATTATGATGGGGGAAATGGTACTGAATATGGATATTGTTGTTGTTACAATAATCAAAGTGACCAATATCACTCCCAATTGTGGTTTTGTAGCCTAACCAAGGGAAAAACCCAACGGCCAGATGATGGGACATCGTGAGAGCAAGCCTCGGAGATCACGAGTTGTGTCCCGAATGCAATTGGGCGTGATGACCTCTTGACCTTGTTTGTATGTTGAATTGGCGTGGATCATCTGAAAGTCTGAAATAACGGTGCCGATGCCGCCACCGTTTTAACGATGAAAGCTTCACTGCGAGATTGAAGAATTAAATTTTTTGAAACTGCGTTTTGTGTGTTAGTTTGTTGTCCTTCCCCCGCACCTCTGATGACCATGATTGGCTACGTACGGTGCGAGAGAAGTTCAACACACGCACGTACACACATAAGGACATACCTCGACCGTGCCGCAGTCGCAGGTCTCCCCGGGCTCCAGGAAGAGGTTTCCGCACACGGGCCCCCCATAGAGCGCGTCCGGGAGGGGCTCGTTGTAGAGACAGGGCCCCCCACCGGCCTGCAGGAAGCCATGCAGGTCCTGCACACTGCAGCTGCTGAAACCCACGGGGAAGCCGTGCCTGCACACACACACACGCACGCACGTGGATTCTTGATGAGAACATCACTCGCGTGACGTGTGGCGCGGGTGACGTGTGCACACGTGATGTGTGCGCGTGTGTGCTAGTGATGTGTGCGTGAAGCGTACACTCATTATGTCAGCGTGTGCTCGTGACGTGTGTGTGCTGTGTACACTCGTGCTGCGAGCGAGCGCTTGCGCCGCGCGTAAACTGACTTGAGCCGCGGCGCGAGCACGCAGCCTCCCTGCTCCTCCGTGGCCTCGCAGTGACAGCGGCGCTCCGTCGAATCGTGGCTCATGCCGAGGTTATGGCCCATCTCGTGGGCCATGGTGGACGCCAGGCCCAGCACGTTGTAGCTGTGATCCTGCTCGCACGCGACGCAGCACGGACATTGTGCCTTCTGTAGCCACGGAGACGCTGAGGCGCTCTGCACTGCAGCGTGAGGCTCAGCTCAAGGAGACAACGGTAGACCTGAGGCTATTGCGTGGGCACAAGAGGGAAGTCTCGTGGCTTTGTAATGGGAAATAAAAACGATGCACCCGTAAAATCCCAAGCAAACATCTGCAACATCGATGCCTTTATTCGGTGCCCTTCTATTTAAGGTAGGCCCGAGTGAAACGTCAAGTCACATTGTCTCCATACCCAAATGAGCGTTACGTGTTGCTCATCTCTGCTGGAGGCCCTCGGCCAGAGGTGGAAATTCAACATTCCCATTGCAGTGGCGATTTTATCCACGGGACAACCATTACTGACATCTCACAAAATTAACACGTAAGTTTTTGAAGCCAATATGATGTATAATTGATCTTGTGTGTCAGACCACGTAATTTGGTTGGGGAAAATTACAGTAGCAAGCAATAACACTGGCGTGATAAAGCACACGTAACACTTTCATTTGGTTGATGCCTGAAGAGGCTAGGCGTTACGAGATGGACGGTTTTGACCTGCTGTGTCACACGTGGTTTGTGGCACGTCCCACATTGCACGTTGCACTCGTCGATGTGATCAAGGTGCCACATTGGCACTCGTCGATGTGATCAAGGTGCCACATTGGCACTCGTCGATGTGATCAAGGTGGCACATTGGCACTCGTCGATGTGATCAAGGTGCTACATTGGCACTCGTCGATGTGATCAAGGTGCCACATTGGCACTCGTCAATGTGATCAAGGTGCCACATTGGCACTCGTTGATGTGATCAAGGTGCTACATTGGCAATCGTCAATGTGATCAAGGTGCTACATTGGCAATCGTCGATGTGATCAAGGTGCTACATTGGCACTCGTCAATGTGATCAAGGTGCCACATTGGCACTCGTTGATGTGATCAAGGTGCTACATTGGCACTTGTCGATGTGATCAAGGTGCTACATTGGCAATCGTCGATGTGATCAAGGTACCACATTGGCACTCTTTGATGTGATCAAGGTGCTACAATGATTTATGTTTCAGTCTTTAATACAGTGAGGGAAAAAAAGTATTTGATCCCCTGCTGATTTTGTAAGTTTGCCAACTGACAAAGAAATGATCAGTCTATAATTTTAATGGTAGGTTTATTTAAACAGTGAGAGACAGAATAACAACAACAAAAATCCAGAAAAACACATGTCAAAAATGTTATAAATTGATTTGCATTTTAATGAGGGAAATAAGTATTTGACCCCCTCTCAATCAGAAACATTTCTGGCTCCCAGGTGTCTTTTATAAGGTAACGAGCTGAGATTAGGAGCACACTCTTAAAGGGAGTGCTCCTAATCTCAGCTTGTTACCTGTATAAAAGACACCTGTCCACAGAAGCAATCAATCAATCAGATTCCAAACTCTCCACCATTGCCAAGACCAAAGAGCTTTCCAAGGATGTCAGGGACAAGATTGTAGACCTACACAAGGCTGGAATGGGCTACAAGACCATTGCCAAGCAGTTTGGTGAGAAGGTGACAACATATTCTTAGCTCTTTCGGTAAAGTCACGTTGAAGAGAAACAATAAAATAATAAAATATAGATATATTTTACACCTGATGATGACCGTTTGTGTTATGGTCGAAACGTCGTGAGAATTTTTTTGTTTTATATATATATTTTATGATTTTATTGTTTCCCTTCAAGGTGACTTTACCGAAAGAGCTAAGAATATGAATTACTGCAGTCACGAAAGCTTTAAATCAAAGGTGACAACAGTTGGTGCGATTATTCGCAAATGGAAGAAACACAAAAGAACTGTCAATCTCCCTCGGCCTGGGGCTCCATGCAAGATCTCACCTCGTGGAGTTGCAATGATCATGAGAACGGTGAGGAATTAGCCCAGAACTACACGGGAGGATGTTGTCAATGATCTCAAGGCAGCTGGGACCATAGTCACCAAGAAAACAATTGGTAACACACTACGCCATGAAGGACTGAAATACTGCAGCGCCCACAAGATCCCCCTGCTCAAGAAAGCACATATAGATGCCCGTCTGAAATTTGCCAATTAACATCGGAATGATTCAGAGGACAACTGGGTGAAAGTGTTGAGGTCAGATGAGACCAAAATGTAGCTCTTTGGCATCAACTCAACTCGCCGTGTTTGGAGGAGGAACAATGCTGCCTATGACCCAAAAAAAAACACCATCCCCATCGTCAAACGTGGAGGTGGAAACATTATGCTTTGGGGGTGTTTTTCTGCTAAGGGGACAGGACAACTTCACCGCATCAAAGGGACGATGGACGGGGCCATGTACCGTCAAATCTTGGGTGAAAACCTCCTTCCCTCAGCCAGGGCATTGAAAATGGGTCGTGGATGGGTATTCCAGCATGACAATGACCCAAAACACATGGCCAAGGCAACAAAGGAATGGCTCAAGAAGAAGCACATTAAGGTCCTGGAGTGGCCTAGCCAGTCTACAGACCTTAATCCCATAGAAAATCTGTGGAGGGGGCTGAAGGTTCGAGTTGCCAAACGTCAGCCTCGAAACCTTAATGACTTGGAGGAGATCTGCAAAGAGGAGTGGGACAAAATCCTTCCTGAGATGTGTGCAAACCTGGTGGCCAACTACAAGGAACGTCTGACCTCTGTGATTGCCAACAATGGTTTTGCCACAAAGTACTAAGTCATGTTTTGCAGAGGGGTCAAATACTTATTTCCCTCATTAAAATGCAAATCAATTTATAACATTTTTGACATGCGGTTTTCTGGATTTTTTTGTTGTTATTCTGTCTCTCACTGTTCAAATAAACCTACCATTAAAATTATAGACTGATCATTTCTTTGTCAGTGGGCAAACGTACAAAATCAGCAGGGGATCAAATACTTTTTTCCCTCACTGTAACTGCTGACGGTATCAACCAATTACACAACCAATTCTGTTTTTTTCCAGTGGGATGGCAACGTGGGATTTAATTACTGAACTTAATTTGAAAGCAAGGGTGGGCCCACTGAGACCATGGAAGATCCCAGGGTCATTCTGACTTGATGATCTGACACAACACTTAGACATTCCTTCCGAATTAAACGTGCTGCCTCAATGGGGATATTGCCTGTGTTAAATAGAGGACAGTTCGTTTGCTTTTCTGTATTTCTGCCTGTACCCGGTACTTCTGAATAGTGCAGCACACGCAGACACCACGGGCCGTGAGCCCTCACGCCAGTGCGGAGAAGCTCACCTCGCTGACGGCACCGCTGTTCTGCCCACACATGCCAGCCACTGGTGCCAGCCCCACCGTCACGCCCTCGAACTGCACACCACTGACACACACACAGACGCAACATGCTAAGGCCATTGGCTTCAGCCTATAGACTGCAGGGACAAGGACTGCCAGTAAATAAGCTCGAAGGGTAAGCAACAAAAAGAGGTGGAGAGGCCAGCAACGCGCCTGCGTGCATTTGTATAGACAACTTGACAGACTGATAATATTACATTTCTTGACTTAAAACTTTCGTGACTGCAGGAATTCATAATCTTTGGGTCTTTCGGTAAAGCCACGTGGCTTTACCGAAAGACCCAATGAATGTGAATATTATATATTTTAATACATATAAACCAGTTGAGAGTCAATTAACAAAAGCAATTCCTGTTGCAAGTGAGACCTGCGGTAAGAAAATACAGCACACGAGAATGAATATCTGTCTTGCTGATTTGTTTTACTACGCAGCAGGGAGTTCTCATTATTTGTAGACTCAGTCGACCTTGGGGAGTTTAAGATGTCAATTGCCACTGATTATAATGTGCATCAGGCAAGAATTAAACTTTGGTGGCACAGGAATGCAACAGCAAACACGCAGCTCACGGACAATGGTGTTCAGGAAGAGGCTCCAGCAGGATCGGAAGGATCGTGAGTGCACACGCGCAGACTCAATGTTACGCCCCAGGGTTAAGCGCGTGGTCACGTGAGGTGGAACTACATTTATCGATGCTTCATCAGTGGACAATTCCATCAGTGGACAATTTCTCTCCAAGATTTAACTAAACAAAAATTGTGACCGGCCAGCCTACTGAACATTACGTCGGAAAAAGCAGCGTTCTCGTATGTACGCACGTATGTATGTATGCATTACAATGCTACATACATTGTCATTAGCTCATTTACTCTGTATGGTTGATGGACTCATTAATCACAGTTGGCGAAATATAAGTTTCCACAGATACCTTCCCCATTATAGAGGCAAGCAAATATTATCAGCTCAACAAAATAGTCACAGACCCATCACCACTCCAACGTCTGTCTTCGAAAAGCCTCCCCATGCCCCCCCCTCCCCGAAAAATGACTTTTACCAACATAAAAGCCTTCCAGAGCCCAACACAGCACGGGACTTTTGTCAAACAACTTATGAGTCATTGCGCTTGTAAAAGCTAACACCAACATGCCACTTGAGAAATTCAAACCGCAATCATAGAAATGCACGGTAATGACTTCCAGCTGGCGGTGCCTTGCGATTATGTTCTGCGCTCGTGGGGTTAGGACTCCAATTGCGGTAATTTCGGTGGCCGCCGATGTGACGCGTCCGGGGATATTGTGACCGTCGCCGCGACGGCCGTCGCCGCGACGGCCGCAGGACGCGAGCGCACGAGCACGCGCGTGCCATGCACGCTACGCAACGGCCACGTGTAACACACACGAGAGGAAACGGCATCGGTCAAATAACAGCAGCAGCAATGCCGGCGGGGAGCGTGCCAATGTTTGTGCACTGGATTCGCGGAGGTTTTCACGCCGCCGCCCGGAGCTGGGAAATTCCCTTAGGAGTCATTCCTCGCCTACAATTTCACCGTGGATAATTCCTACAGGAATGCCATGGGCCATTCCCCTGTTCAAACGAACATTTGAACATGGGACCCTAACAGGAATTCTGCCATTGAAGTTTCTTGCAATTCTTTTACGATTCTAGCTTAGCTTTGGCTATGGTTAACTTGGAAAAACATCACTGATTCCAGCCAGCCAGAATGGTAATTCTGATTGATTCCAGGTCGTCAGAATCACCATTGATGCCTAATCGACTGAATCCGCCCCAATGCTGGTGTTGATGCGCAAACGGAGGACCCATCGTACCTGCATGGCCTCGTGGAGGCAAGCCCAGACACGATCCTTACAATGCCAATGCAAGGCTGCATGTACACAGAGCCAATGATACATGTACAGGTAGCCATCCCATGTATACGTTAGGATATAGCTACGGCTACATATTAACGTAGCTGTAGCCATGTATAATACGTTAGGATATAGCTATGGCTACATATGAACGTAGCTGTAGCCATGTATAATACGTTAGGATATAGCTATGGCTACATATGAACGTAGCTGTAGCCATGTATAATACGTTAGGATATAGCTATGGCTACATATGAACGTAGCTGTAGCCATGTATAATACGTTAGGATATAGCTATGGCTACATATTAACGTAGCTGTAGCCATGTATAATACGTTAGGATATAGCTATGGCTACATATGAACGTAGCTGTAGCCATGTATAATACGTTAGGATATAGCTATGGCTACATATGAACGTAGCTGTAGCCATGTATAATACGTTAGGATATAGCTATGGCTACATATGTACGTAGCTGTAGCCATGTATAATACGTTAGGATATAGCTATGGCTACATATGAACGTAGCTGTAGCCATGTATAATACGTTAGGATATAGCTATGGCTACATATTAACGTAGCTGTAGCCATGTATAATACGCTCCTCCTTGTATAGCCTAGGCCGGTCAGGCCCCACGGGCACGACTGTCTTTCATGAACACTATGCAACATGGGTACACTGCGTAATTACTCTTCAATGCCCGTGCCACACGTGTGTGTGTGTGCGTATGTTGAACTTAAATTTTGACTTAAAACTTTTGTGGCTGCAGGAATTTATATTCTTTGGTTCTTTCGGTAAAGTCACGTAGATGGAAAAATAATAAAAAGAAAAAAACACGTTTCGATCGCAACACAAGCGGTCGTCATCAGGACGACTGCTTGTGCTGCGATCGAAACGTCGTGTTTTATTTATCTTTTTATTATTTTTATTCACTTTTTTATTTTTCTATCTACGTGATTTACCGAGAGAACCAAAGAATATGTTGAACTTCTTTCGCACCGTGCATAGCCAGCCGTGCTAATCGCAGGTGTGTAATGCCGTCCACCATCGTGCTGTGCCATACAACGCAGGTCTTGCGCTGTGCGATGCAGCACATTGACAGCCCCGCACTGCCATGTGCTGTGACATTGCCGTGCTGTGCAATGCAGCGCTCCGCTGAGCAATGTTCTCAATGTCAATGTGATGGGACCACTTCGTTTCGCTGCCACCATTCGTGATGGCCAGGTCGCTTCTGAAATATAAGTGCATACCCCAGTGGGCTTTGCCTGGTAGGATGGGGATGGTTCAGGTTTGTTTGTCATTTGTTAACCTTTCTTGTACTTATATTCTTGGTTCTTTCGGTAAAGTCACGTAGAAGGGAAAGAATAAAATAATAAAAAATAAAACAATAAAATTCTCACGACGTTTCGACTGTTACACAAGCAATCATCATCAGGTGTGAAAACCACAGCAAGAAATTTTTCTTGCTGTGGTTTTATTTTCATTATTTATTTCCATTCTACGTGACTTTACCGAAAGAACCAAGAATATGAATCCCAGCAGTCACGAAAGCTTTAAATCAAAATTTATTGTACTTTGCACCAATGTCATGTTTTTTTTTTGCATTGTCTGTTGTTCTCACGTTCTTACCACGTGCTCCAACTGGACACCTGTGACAAAGAGCTTTATAGCTCACCGGATTCCTTCCGCGGTATAAATAAACATTCTTTAATCCGAACGCAGCACTTTGCGGTGCCTTGCGACTTGCTGCTGCGCTCCGCAACGCTCGCACGACGACGGTTCGCAGCGCGCCCCTCACGTGACGAGCTGCGCGTGGTCGTGGGCGGCGCGCGGGGCCAGTTCGCGGCGCCTCCACGCCAGGAAGCCCTTGAGCGTCGCGTTGGCGTCCGCGCTCACGTTGGCGCGGTCGCCCGCAGTCCACACCTCGAGGCCCACGAGCGCCACGCGCACGCGCAGCGGCCGGTACAGCTGCGCCCGCCACGCACGCGCCACACGCAGCACACAGCACGCAAGCGCCACACACAGCACGCCACACGCAGCACACAGCATGCAGCACACAGCACGCCACACGCAGCACACAGCACGCAGCACACAGCACGCACGCGCCACACACAGCACGCAGCACACAGCACGCACGCGCCACACACAGCACGCAGCACACAGCACGCACGCGCCACACACAGCACGCAGCACACAGCACGCACGCGCCACACACAGCACGCAGCACACAGCACGCACGCGCCACACACAGCACGCAGCACACAGCACGCACGCGCCACACACAGCACGCAGCACACAGCACGCACGCGCCACACACAGCACGCAGCACACAGCACGCACGCGCCACACACAGCACACAGCACGCACGCGCCGCACACAGCACACAGCACGCCACACGCAGCACACAGCACACACGCACAACGTGGGCGGGCCACGCCGTGCTGATGAGACTCGGACAGAGCGAAACGCTCCGGCTTTTTTTTTACCTTCTCGTTTTAAGCAAGCGCTGCTGGAGACGGAACGGTCTGCAGGGCAAACAATGTGGACGGCGGGTTATCATTGCTATTTTGGAGATGAACTTGACGCAAATCCCTGGCTGTTGGTTTTATTTAATGCCACGTAGCTGAGTGTTTGTATATACAGGGAGCTAAAGGTGTAAATACATATACCGTATGTAATACTCAGATAATACGTGAACTTGTTCAGGTTAAACATCATTACAACCAAAGAAGTTGTGGATACTTACACAAGATTGGAGTTCAAGGCAGACTCGGCATGAGAAGTTGTCACTGGATTTTGTGTTTCTGCCTTTTCTCAATTCTATTTCAGCTGTGCTATGGGCGCCATGCTGTGTTGCACAACAATGGACCATGCCATGTTACAGAATGGTCTGTGGAAGTTGATATTACAGAACTACTACTTCGTCCAAATAAAAAAATACATAGAAATCCGTAGTTTTTTTTTAGAAGTCATCAGTGGTTGATCTTTCGATAAAGACCTGGCCATTCCCATGGGAATGTGGAATTCACAGGGGCTCCCATGAGTTGATGAGCAGCGCCCGATGATTGTTTGAGCTGGGGGCCACACTCGTGCCTTCCACCAAGTCTCTCTCGCAAGTGGGGCTCTCAGTAGCTCTGAATGAAGTTCACCGAAGGACACACATCGCAAGCCCCATATACAGCTTCAGTTGCTGTAACATCTAGATCTCAAGGCCGACGTCCAGCATGGATCTCAAGGATGTTGTAATGATGTGGGCAAAGAGTAAGCCTCCACACATTACGAAATATATGCTACCACTCAGCCAGGAAATGGCTCGGAGAGAAGGAATACAGTCTTGTGTTGCAGAACGTACGATTGTGAAAGAATGTTCAATGCGTTCACCCGGAACCACTCAGCAGTAGCACACAGCAGTAACACACACGGCAGTAACACAGAACAGTAACACACACAGTAGCACACAGCAGTAACACACACGGCAGTGACACACAACAGTAACACACACAGTAGCACACAGCAGTAACACACACGGCAGGGACACACACACAGCACTGACACACACAGCAGCACCACAGTGGCTTGATGTGTGGTTGGGGGCTGGTGACGATTGTGCGGTGGCAGACGAGAGACAACGAGAAGGGAATGACTACAGAGCGATGCACTGTGCTAAGTGTGCTTTTGCCTGGGGGAATTGCTCACTGGCCGAGCTTTGTACATTGTCCCGTACCAGTCAATTGCCCTTGGGCCTTCGTGCCCCAACACATGCTCTTAGAGGCACTGATGTTTGTAGACCCTTGTTTGTAAACATGTACCATTATACTCTATTGCGTGCTTTTTAAAGCAGACGAAAGCTCTCTTAGTCAAAGGGTTGATGTCCTGTAAGGAGACTGGCGCCCACTGTAAGAATGACAGTTCCACTAATAAATGTACATTACATTTCAAGAGTGGCTGGGAGCCTCAGAGCTTTCATCATATCCTGTGTCAGGGAACAGCGCCGCTGATAACCTGGATTCAATACCAGGCAGTTGTGTGATGATAAACCAGATGATTAAATGTATTGAGCTGCTAGTCTCAGCAGTTACCGATTACCGCACAACAAAACCATCAGATCACTTTGTTCACATTTTTTATTCTACTCCAGTTCTGCGGATAAATGTAGCAACAGCCGAAGTAATTAGACGAAAGTCACGCGGCAGGCAACTCATTACGCTGCACAAGGGAACAGCATGTGGTTACCGTTCCCACGAACTGCACTCCTTGATTCCTTCCGCCCTTGCTGAGAACTCGGTCTACCACACTGACTCTTTCAACGCCTTCATACTGTGTCCATCCGTAGCACTGCAGGCCACACCACGTCGCTTTGTGGACAGTGCCTGTTGGTCTCTGGCCGCTTGGGTTTTTTGGGGGCTTCGGGCACCTCTGCACGGTGACCGTGGCTTTCAAAAGGTCAACTGCATGTTGTACGCACACCCGGTAGTTTTGGGGGGAGGTTAGCGGGACTAGAGTTTGTGAAACATTGCTCCCACGATTGTAGGAGTCGAGGGAGGAGATAGCTTCACGCCTTGGCTTTGGCTCTCGCAGCGCGGTGGGGATGTACAATCGACGAGGAGCGGTACCAAAGTTAGTGGTCCACATGTTACGGAGCGGTTCACCATTCTTAAAGTAAAACATAGAGAAGGGTGCTTGAGTGTGTATAAAGAGACGTTACATACATATCGTGCATCTCTCTACGGCTGCCGCTATCCCCTGGCTGGTGGCGGACAGGAGCTTCCGAACTGGAGCTGCACACTCACACGGACTGTGGAACTGTGACCGTACCTTGTCCATGTGGTTTGCAGCCTCCAGCATCCGCTGTCGGACCCGCTCCAGGCTTTTGTTTTGCATCTTGTACTGTGGGGAGCCGGCAGCAACAGCAACACGGCGCTCGGCTCAGACGCGGCAAACGTGACAGCGAAAAAGCTGCTCCTTCGGTGAACTTGCACAACGTATGATATGAAGTGTCAAGTAAAAGAGGTCCGCATTTCCATATAAGCCGATATTTATTGTAAAATATATGTTTTTTTCTTCATTTCATAAGAAGACATTCACTCAAGCAATATGAAACGCCGTACATGACAGCTGTGATGCCTGAGTTGGCAGGATGGTGGCTGAAGAGCTTTCGCCCCATTGCAGTGCACTCCGCTGGGTTTGAATCCAGGAAGCCACCCCTGAATAAACTTTGCTAAACTTTTCCAATGCGTCCGACGGCCTTAGCCTGACCGCTCATAAATGACTGCACAAAGAAAAACAAATTAACGTAGATTTGTTTTTCTTTCTGAAATCCGCAATGCGCAGCTTTCAGAGTAAAAAAATGTAGTCTTGTACAAATACGTTTCCTGTTACTTAGCAACGTGGCCTTGCAGCACGCACATCGAGTACACGTGAGGGCAGCGACTTCTGTACTGTGCGATACGCACAAACTATGAAAATGTATAAATTAATACGAGACATTTTAAGATCGTGCGCATGCATGTAGAACTTCTTTCGCACCGTACGTAGCCAACCGTGCTAATCGGAGGTGCGGGGAAAGGAGAACAAACTAAACACAAAAAAAGCAGTTTGACATCAAATGAGTTTTCAATCTAGATTTAAAAGTTGCTGGCTCCAGCGGCTCCCTAATATCGGAAGGAAGAGCGTTCCAGACGGCCGCAGTGGTGCATCTCAAAGCGTGCGGAATGCATCTGAAGGACCGTTAGGGTTCGGTGTTAATTGCCGAGGCTCCGTCAGGCTGTTTAACAAAGGGCACAGCTGAGGGCGAGCAGATCGAGTCACGGGAAGATGAGATAACCAGAACACAACGATGACGTAACTCGGTCTATAACCACGGTGCTCCACGTTTGTCCAAACACTGCACACTTTCCAGACAAGAGGTCATCGTGTTCAACGTCTTTGATGTCACCACACCTCACCATTGCCTCCTTCCTCTATACATCACAGCTGTCGTAAAGTTGACACCCGCCCTTCAAGGGCCATTCTCACGGTCGCCTACCATCTGGAGTTTGGCCTTCCTCTCAGTCGCTGACCTCTCGGAGCCACTCCGACGCCTGTCTCAGTAAACCACCCTCCTCCATCATACGCACGCGTTGGGCCCTTCACGAACCTTCCTTCAATAAGTCCAACAACCATTTCTGGCCACGCGACATTTCTGAGCTACCTCTTATTCAAAGGTCACACGTTCGTTTCCTGTTCGCGTTGTTAGAGTTCAACTCTGACCAACACGGTAACTCAGACATCTGTACTCTTCTAAACAAGTGGTTCATGTAAGTCTGTCAAAATCCATTTCAACTATCACAATAAGTCGGATTTCATACTCACAAGCCAGTGTGTTATGCACTTCCTAAATACAAAAAATAATGTTTACTACATCCACATTCTCACTTCCTGCTGACAAATGTGAATGTTTCTGGGACCCATCAATAACCACTGGCATCAAGTTTGTTGGCCACGACACTAAGACCCAAGTGCCCAGCATCCGTGCCCGAGGCTTGTGGCGGGTTGGGAGTGATTGTTAGCTAGAGTAAGCAGAGGAAGTTGAAGATGCTGACAAAAGCACAGAGACAGGAAGAAATGATTATCTACAGTTGACTGAGTGGCAAGGAGAGTCCCACACAGGAATATGGGTTGGGCACCAGTTGAAGGACGGTAGGTACACATCATGGGTTCAGCACCAGTTGAAGGACGGTAGGTACACATCATGGGTTTAGCACCAGTTGAAGGACGGTAGGTACACATCATGGGTTCAGCACCAGTTGAAGGACGGTAGGTACACATCATGGGTTCAGCACCAGTTGAAGGATGGTAGGTACACATCATGGATTCAGCACCAGTTGAAGGATGGTAGGTACACATCATGGGTTCAGCACCAGTTGAAGGGCAGTAGGTACACATCATGGGTTCAGCACCAGTTTGAGGACGGGTAGGTACCATCATGGTTCAGCACCAGTTGAAGGACGGTAGGTACACAACATGGGTTTAGCATCAGTTGAAGGATGGTAGGTACACAGTATGGGTTTAGCACCAGTTGAAGGATGGTAGGTACACATCATGGATTCAGCACCAGTTGAAGGATGGTAGGTACACATCATGGATTCAGCACCAGTTGAAGGATGTAGGTACACAACGTGGGTTCAGCACCAGTTGAAGGATGTAGGTACACAACGTGGGTTCAGCACCAGTTGAAGGATGGTAGGTACACATCATGGGTTCAGCACCAGTTGAAGGATGTAGGTACACAACGTGGGTTCAGCACCAGTTGAAGGATGGTAGGTACACATCATGGGTTCAGCACCAGTTAAGGATGGTAGGTACACAACGTGGGTTTAGCACCAGTTGAAGGATGGTAGGTACACATCATGTGGTTCAGCACCAGTTGAAGAGGACGGTAAAGGTACACATCATGGGTTCAGCACCCTTTGAAGGACGGTAGGTACACCAAACATGGGTTTAGCACCAGTTGAAGGACGGTAGGTACACAACATGGGTTTAGCACCAGTTGAAGGACGGTAGGTACACAACATGGGTTTAGCACCAGTTGAAGGATGTAGGTACACATCATGAGTTCAGCACCAGTTGAAGGACGGTAGGTACACATCATGGATTCAGCACCAGTTGAAGGATGGTAGGTACACAACATGGGTTCAGCACCAGTTGAAGGACGGTAGGTACACATCATGGGTTTAGCACCAGTTGAAGGACGGTAGGTACACAACATGGGTTTAGCACCAGTTGAAGGATGTAGGTACACATCATGGGTTCAGCACCAGTTGAAGGATGGTAGGTACACAACATGGGTTCAGCATCAGTTGAAGGATGGTAGGTACACAGCATGAGTTCAGCATCAGTTGAAGGATGGTAGGTACACATCATGGGTTCAGCACCAGTTGAAGGATGGTAGGTACACATCATGGGTTTAGCACCAGTTGAAGGTAGGTAAACAGTATGCACAAGCCTAGAAGGTCTGGTAGAGCTGGGTTTGCCGCCAGCTTTTGACACAAAACCTCAAAACTCGGTGGTACCACTGAGAAGAATGACGCAGCTTCGGGAAAGTCCTTCACAAAATAAAACAAATATTGATGGGGTGGAGAAATAAGTAACCTTAAGCAGAAGTCAAAACAGCAGTGGAAGAGGCAAGGCAATATCAGCGTGCCAAACTTTCTTGCCGATCCTGTTTAAAGGTTGGCCGACGAGTGCCGAAGGAGGAGCTACACAGGGCGGTCGCCACAGCGTTTCGTTGGCCCTACTTACAAAGTTACAAATGCACGAAATGTCAGCAAAGCGGTCCCTTGACATTGTCACGGCGGCCGTGGCACACTTTGGCGGGGCCTGCGCATTGCGCTGTCACCGCAGTCGTTGGGCATCCTCTTCCCCCTGAAACGCGCAGCAAACCCCGCCGCCACAGCGCGAACATGTTTACACGCCGCCGTGTCTCGAGACGCCCAAGCCTTTTCAAGATCAAGGAAGGGCACTGACATTTTTATAGCGGGGGGGGGGGGGGGGGGCAGTTGTTTATTTGGACTAACGAACTGTTTGCCTATTATTAACCCAGGGGAAACGTCTACGGGGGATGTTGTGTTAGGAGTTCAGCACAACGGTGGCGCTTTCTTCATAACAATTGTGACGTGACGGAGATGGGTATAAAATACAGAAAACGTTAAACAAAAACGTACATGATGTGTGTTTATTTTATGACAAGGTTCGGCCAAATTGGACTATTTCTGCGGGAGTGCAGTCTGCAGGCCATTAAGTGATGTAACCCCGCACCAAGCCAGAGGAGTTATTGAGGTTAACTGGGACAGAAAAAGGAAAATAGCTGTGGTTAAAACTGCAATGGCTCGAGATTTTGTAAGCGCCTTGCTCTGAACGCATTGCCATGTGCTCTGGAAAAGGGGCTGAATCCATATCCAGTACGGACGTAATGAATCATTCATTACAATTGATTGCTATGCTTTCCATACACACATTGATTGAATAATGTGTGTAAACATTGATTATTTTGAAATTTACATTTATTTATAGCTTTGATATTATAGCCCCTATAAGTTCACGCAAATATAAAGTTTACGTGCGGCACAAGGGCAAAAATAATTGATTCATGACTTTAATAATGGCAATTAATTAATTTAGGGGGGTGGGTGGGGGGTGATTACAGCCTAGCAATGTGTTGTTGGGACCAGCAGTGTGGTGAGTGAGTGACTGTGTTGTTGGGGCCTGCAGTGTGGTGAGTGAGTGACTGTGTTGTTGGGGCCAGCAGTGTGGTGAGTGACTGTGTTGTTGTGACCTGCAGTGTGGTGAGTGACTGTGTTGTTGTGACCTGCAGTGTGGTGAGTGAGTGACTGTGTTGTTGTGACCTGCAGTGTGGTGAGTGAGTGACTGTTGTTGTGACCTGCAGTGTGGTGAGTGAGTGACTGTTGTTGTTGTGACCAGCAGTGTGGTGAGTGAGTGACTGTGTCGTTGTGACCAGCAGTGTGGTGAGTGAGTGACTGTGTTGTTGTGGCCTGCAGTGTGGTGAGTGAGTGACTGTTGTCGTGACCTGCAGTGTGGTGAGTGAGTGACTGTGTTGTTGGGACCTGCAGTGTGGTGAGTGAGTGACTGTGTTGTTGGGACCTGCAGTGTGGTGAGTGAGTGACTGTGTTGTTGTGACCAGCAGTGTGGTGAGTGAGTGACTGTGTTGTTGTGACCTGCAGTGTGGTGAGTGAGTGACTGTGTTGTTGTGACCTGCAGTGTGGTGAGTGACTGTGTTGTTGGGACCTGCAGTGTGGTGAGTGACTGTTGTTGGGGCCTGCAGTGTGGTGAGTGAGTGATTGTGTTGTTGTGACCTGCAGTGTGGTGAGTGACTGTGTTGTTGTGACCTGCAGTGTGGTGAGTGAGTGACTGTGTTGTTGTGACCTGCAGTGTGGTGAGTGACTGTTGTTGTGACCTGCAGTGTGGTGAGTGAGTGACTGTTGTTGTTGTGACCAGCAGTGTGGTGAGTGAGTGACTGTGTCGTTGTGACCAGCAGTGTGGTGAGTGAGTGACTGTGTTGTTGTGGCCTGCAGTGTGGTGAGTGAGTCACTGTTGTCGTGACCTGCAGTGTGGTGAGTGAGTGACTGTGTTGTTGGGACCTGCAGTGTGGTGAGTGAGTGACTGTGTTGTTGGGACCTGCAGTGTGGTGAGTGAGTGACTGTGTTGTTGTGACCAGCAGTGTGGTGAGTGAGTGACTGTGTTGTTGTGACCTGCAGTGTGGTGAGTGAGTGACTGTGTTGTTGTGACCTGCAGTGTGGTGAGTGACTGTTGTTGGGGCCTGCAGTGTGGTGAGTGAGTGACTGTGTTGTTGTGACCTACAGTGTGGTGAGTGACTGTGTTGTTGAGACCTGCAGTGTGGTGAGTGAGTGACTGTTGTTGTGACCTGCAGTGTGGTGAGTGAGTGACTGTTGTTGTGGCCTGGAGTGTGGTGAGTGAGTGACTGTTGTTGTGGCCTGCAGTGTGGTGAGTGAGTGACTGTTGTTGTGACCTGCAGTGTGGTGAGTGAGTGACTGTTGTTGGGACCTGCAGTGTGGTGAGTGAGTGACTGTGTTGTTGTGGCCTGCAGTGTGGTGAGTGAGTGACTGTTGTTGGGGCCTGCAGTGTGGTGAGTGACTGTGTTGTTGAGACCTGCAGTGTGGTGAGTGACTGTGTTGTTGTGACCAGCAGTGTGGTGAGTGAGTGAGTGACTGTTGTTGGGGCCTGCAGTGTGGTGAGTGAGTGGCTGTGTTGTTGGGGCCTGCAGTGTGGTGAGTGAGTGAGTGACTGTGTTGTTGTGACCTGCAGTGTGGTGAGTGACTGTTGTTGTGACCTGCAGTGTGGTGAGTGAGTGACTGTGTTGTTGTGACCAGCAGTGTGGTGAGTGAGTGACTGTTGTTGTGACCTACAGTGTGGTGAGTGACTGTTGTTGGGACCTGCAGTGTGGTGAGTGAGTGACTGTTGTTGGGGCCTGCAGTGTGGTGAGTGAGTGAGTGACTGTGTTGTTGTGACCTACAGTGTGGTAAGTGAGTGACTGTGTTGTTGGGACCTGCAGTGTGGTGAGTGACTGTGTTGTTGGGACCAGCAGTGTGGTGAGTGACTGTTGTTGGGGCCTGCAGTGTGGTGAGTGAGTGACTGTGTTGTTGGGGCCTGCAGTGTGGTGAGTGAGTGACTGTTGTTGGGACCTGCAGTGTGGTGAGTGAGTGACTGTGTTGTTGTGACCAGCAATGTGGTGAGTGAGTGACTGTTGTTGGCACCTGCAGTGTGGTGAGTGAGTGGGTGAGTGACTGTGTTGTTGACTGAGCGTGTGCCCTTGGGGTGCGCGTCTCCAGCTCACCTTGGTGTAGTCCACAACCATGAACATTTCCACATACTTGGTGTCCTGCAGCACCCAGCCGGGGTCCTGTGCGCACAATAGACAGGGTACCAACTACCATCAGCAAATCATACGTCTGGATACTAGAACAACCACCAACCACCCACTCTTATCGTCATAACGTCTCCATACGCATCTCAGAGTCGTTACTTTTGTATGCGGCCTTTACAAGGAAAGCTCATTGTAACATTCATTGGCATGTGATGAAATTGAGGGTACCACGGTATTAATAGAACCACCAGAACTCTGAAGCTTTCAGTTTCCCTGAAAGTGTTTGTTTTACAAAGCCGATGCCACCGCAATACCCCATCCGTCGTCCTAGTCCACGTATAAAGAGCTCAGAACACAAGAGGGGTGATTGTGGCGCTGAACGAGGTGGGCGATAAACTCTACCGCTGCCGTACACCTGTGCAGACTTCAAACCAACGCTGGCATCTCTCTGAGACGACTGCAATCGCGCAAGTTCTCAAACAGTTCAATTGTCGTACCGCACAGGGCCACAAACAACTTAAAATGTTTTGTAAACGTTTCCGAAAAGAATGCTGTTTATGTTCTTGTAATTCCCTCTCCCTTGGTGCGTAAAAGTAAGTGCAAGCCAGGATACTACCATCCAAAGTGCTCTCACAGAAGTACGACAACCACCATCATCACCACCACCATCACCACTATCACCACCACCATCATCATCTCAGCAGTGGTCTTCCTCTCATGCACATTCTTTCCATTGGCTGCCATTCCATTCTGTCACCAGATATGGCTCCCGTCCCTTCTGGCGCTGTAAACTTCCCTTCACAATCACGTTTTCATTTTCATTTTGTAAATCATCGCTCCCTGATCCACGTGCCCCTCTCGCTTTGTCTCTCAGTGTAATACTGCCCGAGAGATATGATGTACGGATCAAAATCAGGGACAATTATACAATTAACAGGAGCTGAAAAGTACACGCAAGCATTTCCCCCAGTGAAAAAAGTTAAATAATTAAACTGTTTTCCTGTTGGAAAAATAACATTCACTTGAAGAAAAACATTTATTTTCCAAAAATTCCCTTTTCACTTCATTTTTTTTGGATTTCCGAGCAATAAGCTCATAGGTTGTAAATGAGAACACTCAAATAGTTGATTGTTTTTGGCATCCTGGATCATGGCCTTTTTACAAACATAAATCGTGCGCTGCTTTTGAAAGAAAATATTCTTAGATGTATGTTGTTAATCACGTGACGTTGATTGGATCAGGATGCGACCTTTACAAAGCAGTAACGTTGTCCGTCGGTAAGAAAACATCTCGTGTTTGACCCACTATTCTATAATCATACACCAGTATATTTAAATTATAATTCGACAATCATATGTAATACCAGTCGATTGTTGCTTTAATTGGAATGCAACGCTCGCTATCGGAAGGGTGCAAGTTGAAGTGGTGGTCGGGTGGAAGGTCGACTGGCCATATTTTCTCCGGGTGATAAAATACTAATTCGTGGGACGTGAATATGGCGCCACTAGGGGAGACAAAGGCGGCCGGGCGTGGTGCTGGCCACCCACCGCCCTTGTGTGCAGCGCCGGCCTTCACAGGCGCTCGGTAACAGCACTTGCCCCAAGCATTCCTTCTCTGAACCGTAATGCTCCTCGTCAAGTCTCTCGGTGTCATTCCAAAGGCACACCTCTCCACGCTTCTCTGCACTCTCATCAGATTTTGTTCGATTTTCTTCGCCCAATGTTTCACTTCTTGGAAGAGTATTCAGACAAGGAGACACACTTTGGCCAAAGTTATTCATCGTGACGCTGGAAGAGGCTTTCCCTAAGACCAGGTTGTATGCAAATCAAACCAGACATTATAACCACTGCAAAAGAACGAGAGGAAATTATTAAAACCGCTTGATAACGAGAGGCTTTCATTTGCCTTTGAGAGACAGAGATTTCCCCAACCACAAATTGCCTAATTTACGCTGTTCACTCACTCAGTACCACCCGAACGTAAAACCTTGGCAAGGACGCACTTCCACTTCTGACTTGGGTAGGAATCTCAGCAACAGTGGACATTAAGAATCACCAAAAACCCACACTCAGTCCCCAATAATTGTAAGCGTCTTTCCAGACCACGCGCCACTCGCCGCACATTCAACGGCAGGCGGGGTCATCACAGCCACAACGACAAAGTGTAGCCTCGTGCATTTATTCACTTAACAACCACCTTGGGAAGTGCATTTTGGGTCAATGCGCGGAGTGTAATCTATCACTCCCCATGCCAGGGTCACAGGCAGCGGTTAAGTGAGACAGGACGTACACAATGTTTTGGCTGTGTGGTTAGAATCATAAATAAATATTGAACAACTGTTCAATAATATTTGTCCTCGAAGAGCATATGCTCTACTGTCACGACATGGCAACACGCGGGGTGGCTCAGAGGTGCTCATGTTTAAATAATGTTTGTCCCGAGACTTCGGTTCAAATCGTAGAAGCCACGTGTGGTTAAAGAGGAATACACAAAGTGTGCACATTCGGTACACGATGCGATGTCATCTTTGTGAGACCAATCCTCGACAAGAAGAGAGAGTCATTGCAGGCAGGAGTTGAGGTAGGCTCAAGAGTACTCCACTGCACTCAAAAAAATATTCGCTAGCTCGCAAAAAATGGTATTCGATTGCCCTCCGCGGATTTTTCACGACACGTCGCTACGCTTGCTTCAAAGTCTACCGGCCAAGACTGCCAAGCGGAGTTAATTTAAATCCAAAGAACAGATGCTCACACTCTCTGCGCTGACAGCGCGTACTACCGGGGGAATAACAAATCACACGGCGGAGCGGATGAGGCACTTGAATTAGAATCGTTGCACTGCATGGCTAATGTGGCTTCTACATCCTTGGTTGGATGGTTCTGTTGTTCGTGGGACCATTTCACTCAGCACGGTGAATAAGGAGCCCCGAGCGCTTGGTATTGTCCTTGGGACGGGCTAACCGTGCGGGGATGTCATTATACTGAGGTGGAACTCCCTTATTGCCCCACCCCTAATTTAGGATTGGCCAGTGCCTCTGGGCTGAAAGGTGTGGGTAGCGCCACCTTCAATATCAAACGTCAGCCGTACAACAGAGTTTGGGCGCCACTAGAGAGTTTGGGTGACTCGGTGGCAAGATGTTAACGACCTCGCCTGGTATACAGGAGGTCGTGGGTTCGATCCTGACCCTGAGCCCTCTATATTTGGAGTTCGCATGTCTCTCCTCGTAGTTGTGTGGCTTTTTCTCCGATTTTCCATCCACAATTAAAATGAACGTCCTTTTAGAGTATTTGACTGCTATACATTTCCACGTCATAAGCCAGGTCGCTTCTGAAAAAAAGCTAACTAGCTCAGTGGGCCTTACCTAGTAAAATAAAAAATAGTTGAATAGTTTAGTTTAGTTTTAATAGATTCCCACCACCAACAGAACTCTCTGCCACACACAAATCCATCCTGGATAATTGTGCCCCAGATCTTACAGCGTTGTGCGAGGAGGCAGCATTCTACTGAATGTCTTCCATGGAATATTCATAGCTTATAATTCTGATCCTTTTTTAAATAAAAATGCACAGAAAATTATCGTCCCATTTCAGTTCACAAAAGTGCACGGAAACATCATCCCAGCCTCTAAGTGCACAAAACTGTACATACCAGGGGATTATCATAATTACACACAATACCACAGGGCACCCTTTGTCAGGTTAAAAATATATATGATATACGGTTTCTGTGCAAAATCACGTGTACATCTTGGAAAGCACAGCTTTCCGAAAAAAAAATCACTCGGAGAAACATTGAAGTCTGCCTGAGCTGCAAAGACACAAACTACACAAAGACACAAACTACACAAAGACACAAACTACACAAAGACACAAACTACACAAAGACACAAACTACACAAAGATACAAACTACAGAAAGACACAAACTACACAAAGACACAAACGACACAAAGACACGAACTACACAAAGACACAAACTACACAACGCCACAAACTACACAAAGACACAAACTTCACAAAGACACAAGCTACACAAAGACACGAGCGACACAAAGACACAAACGACACAAACTACACAAAGACACATTACACAAACACACAAACGACACGAAAACACAAACACGAAGACACAAACTACACAAATACACAAACGACACAAAGACACAAACGCGCATATGCACAGTCCACAATCGTTGTTACCAGCCGTCTGCCAATCCCCTCTCTACCTTTTTACATTACTAACATCACAGAGCATGCAGAATATTGACTCTTGTCGGTGAGTGACAACAGCATCACAATAAACAAAAAAAAGTTGTGTTGTTTTCATGACCATCTACGTAATTGGTTCGGCTGCACAGAACATAGGGGCTTAATCTTCGGCCAAGACATCCTACGACACCATCACAACTTGACAAATTGCCCAACGCTTTAGAAACAAGCCGAGCATACTCAAGAGGGCAAGGGCATTAAAATTCACCTCTAGAACTGTACTCCGACGCTCCGAACTATACGCTCACCGCCATGACCGGCCAGGCACCGACGTGTCAGTAAGGTCGAACCCTCATGACCCACATGGCGTCGGGAGGACCTCATCTAGCAGTGGATTGACAATGGGCTGTGCACGTACAATGCAATAGCACTGGATCATAGCAGGGATCCATCGTAATGAGAAGACGGCCGAGCTTCTCGAAGCCACCACTCTCCCGCAGGGCTCAAATTAACGCAGCAGCAGCACTTAGCGTTCGGTATCTGAGACCAACAGTCAATGGGTGAAGGTCGCAAAGCCCCGAGACTACGTGGAGATAATTGATGTCATACGGCAGAGCATTTGTGGGCATAAATGTTTCTCTTCGACGTCTACTGGATGCATTTCAGGCTCACGCTCAAAACATCTTCAAGTGCTTTTCATTTCCGATGTCGGATTCCACGTCGATGTACAAAGTACGTTAACTTTCTTTCACCGAGTATTAAATTATCAGGATGCGAATCTGATTGACCCATTAGGTAACCTGATATATGAACATTTTAATTACATTTT